AAGGTATAGATACTAAGTGTAGATTATTTTTTCAAGGAGGTTAGCTAGAAGGGAAGAAGTTCCAATTATATATTGGTTTATAATGAATCACCCCATATTTAGTAGGGTCATTCTCCTGATAAACTTCATTATTATGTCTGCCTATCTTATATCTTTATTTTAAATATATATCCAAAGCCGACCATTCCACCTGGGCCCTGCCCCCATCCTCTCCCACTCTCTCACACCTGCAACCTCTCTTATCTTGCTTGTTGGCCTATTCACATCCAAATCTCTCCTTTTTCTTTTTTCCAAAACAAAACAACAACAAAGATTATCCCTTAGCGTCTCTCTTTAGGGGAGATAAGACCATCTGGCTACCATCCCTTTCTTTGCTTCCTCCCTCTCATGCAGTTGACCTGCTGTTTCTGCTTCTGCCCCATCAGTTGACTATAACTGCTTCACCGGGGCCGTCAGCAGTGTCCGGTTTGCTAAATCCACATTCGCTTTCCTCTTGGTCTCTCACTTGTCCTGCATTCTTGTTTGCTTGTTCATACTTGACCTCTTGTTCTCTGTCTTGACAGTATTGTTCCCTCTTGACCACTCCCCTTCTTCCTAAACTCTTTAGTTTTCATGAGCTGCTTTTGTAGGTAGGGCCTCTTCTGAGTCTCATCCAAAATGCCTCTCTTCCACCTGATCTTAAATGTTGGAGTTTTTCTTCTCATGTACACTCTCCCCTAGGATGATTGCATCCATTCCATGGCTTCCTTCACTGACTATATGCTGACAATTCCCACATCTTGTTTTTTCTAGCCCAGATCTCTCTCCTCTTCTCCAGACCCAAATAGTCAGCTGGACATTTCCATTTTAGATGACCCACAGGTATCTCATACTCAACATGCCCCAAACTGAACATAACATGTTTTTCAGTATATGCTTCCTCCTTAGTTCCTTGTTTTGGGGAATAGTATCACTGTCCTCTTGTTACACGAGTCAATTTTAAATCATCTTGCTTTTACATTTTAAAGATTTTTCAAAACTGTCTCTTCTTCATCTCTATTGCGACTACCTTAGGACTACAGGTCCTCATAGCACAACCACCTCTTAACTGAATTTTCATGCCTCTCTTTTGGACTCACATTCTCCATCTTGCTGCCAGAGTGGTCTTTCTAAAACAAATACAATCTCATCACTCCTCCTTAAACCTTCTTCAGTGAATCCCCTCCATCTTCACCAGGGTTTCTCAGCCTCAGCACTGTTGACATTTGGGCTGGCTAATTCTTGGTTTGGGGCTGTCCTGTCATTGTAGGATGTTTAACAGTATCCCTGCTCTCTACCCAATAGATGCCAGTAGTGTCCACCCCCCAATTGTAACAACCAAAAATCTCTCCAGACATTCACAAATGTCCCTGGGGCTAGGGGGAGCAAGATTGTACCTGTTTGAGAACCACTGATCTACAGGATAAAATCAAGTTTCTTAGCATGTATACTAGGCCCTTAGTGATCTGCCCCTGCCTGCCTCTCCAGTCTCATTTGTCCCCATATTCCCCCTATGCTCCAGGTCTGCCAATTACTGTTAGATTTCTTAAATCTGTTCATACTCTCACTCGCCTCTCTCTTCTTTGCCCATGCTTTTCCATCTACCAGGAACCCTGTAGCTCCCACCCACCATTCCTTTGGCTTGATTAACCTCCTCAGCCCTCAGAGTTTAGCTCAGAAGTCACCCTTCAGGAAACAGTTCTCAACTCTTTTAGTCTGGATTAGGTGCCAATCTTAGGTGTTCTTGTTGCACCCCCTCTTGCTTCTCCTTGTTCCTCATGCAGTCTGGCATCTGTTTATTCACTTGTCTGTCTTCCCAGCAGGCAGTGAGAGCTGGATGGCAAGGACTGTGTCCTCAGCACAGGGCCTTGCTTTTAGCAGGCACTCAGGAAGTGTCAACTGAATGAATGGTTGTTGCTCAATAAGTCTTTGTTGAATGAATGGTCTTCCTTGAAACAGCTTCTTTTTTCAGGTCCTTCACTTTCCACCATTCCATCCTGTTTATGTACTGAAAGAAAGCCAGTTGGTCAGTAGGTCAAGAAGCCGTCATTCCCAAAGCAAGAATTTTAAAGAAAAAAGTATGACAGTTCCATGAAATCTACGGTGCTTTGCTTGCAGTAGAGCACAAATAGTTTTACATTGTAATTGGTACTAGAAAGTCAGGAACAAGAAATTTGACTGAAATGGGAACATGGAAAAGAAACATTACATTTTTCTCCTGCAGCATATGGATTTCTCATTAGTCTGGGTAAGGGAAAACCGGGGGCGGGAAGGGCTCAGCGACTGCAGCTGTCCACACTCTCCCCTCATCATTCTGCTGCCACCACACCTGGTCCCCAGAGACACCCTCACTTCTTAGCTATTTTGGCTTAGGTATGGACAAATCCCTTTGGTTCAGCAGAGACTAGCCTGGAATTTTTCAAAAGAAGCTTTGCTAGGAAACTAGCAGGAAAAACAAAACAAAAGTAAAAACAGGAAATAGGGTATAGAAATGATAAAAATACATAGTGCAAAAAAAAAAAAAAATCCCTTAGCCTTAAGATAACTAAAGTCTAGTATTAGCACTACTTGACTCCTTGACTCAATTTACCAGGCACAGGTTTTTCCTGTTTTTTTTGTTTCATTTTGCCATGATATTGTCTCCCTCTGAGGAACTTGTCCCGAAGTCTCCCTTTTTAGTCTTTGTATATTTTCCTTCTCTTACTTAAGAATCTTCTCCATCTTCATCTAGGAGGAATTAGAATTAGTGTTACAGTCAGGGTCTCTTATAGACAATGGGTTACTGCTTATGTGGAGAAATGAGCTTTCCAATCTTTTTCTACAGATAAAATAGCTTAGTGGTTCCAAACACAATCTGAGGACCAATGCTATGTGTTCATTATAAAGATTTTACTTGCTTGGGATGAAGCGAAAAACATAGACAATGTCATGAGTTTTTTTGATATCACTAAAGGACTAATGTTTTTACTCTGGGATCTTTTTTTTCTTTCTTCCCCTTTAGATATAGTCAATGGTAGTTGTGAAGTTTTACTTTTTTTTGTTTTTAGTTTTTATGTCCTTGGCAAAATTAAAAATTGTTATCTCCCTGTAGGTATGTGCACCCAGTTTTTATAAATTCTTTCTGGTCTCTGAAATCCAAAACTCTGGCCAACAGATATTTTTTATGACATTGATGTATGCTGTATTGTTTCTATGCTTTATGCATCATTTGAACTGGTATTTTTATAAGTAAACGATTTATTTTGCAATCCTCCCAACAGAACATGCTGTAGTTCACTGTTTTCAAAGGTAAATGATGCAGTTTTTTAAGTTTGATGTTCTCTCTCTCTCTTTTTTTTTTTTTTTTTTTTTTGAGACAGAGTCTTGCTCTGTTGCCCAGGCTAGAGTGCCGTGGCATCAGCCTAGCTCATAGCAACCTCAAATTCCTGGGCTCAAGCGATCCTACTGCTTCAGAATAGCTGGGACTACAGCATGCGCCACCGTGCCCGGCTAATTTTTTCTATTATTTTTAGTTGGCCAACTAATTTCTTTCTATTTTTAGTAGAGACAGGATCTCATTCTTGTTCGGGCTGGTCTCGAACTCCTGAGCTCAAATGATCCACCCGCCTCGGCCTCCCAGAATGGTAGGATTGCAGGCGTGAGCCACTGCGCCTAGCCAAGTTTGATGTTCTCTTCTAAGGAACTGGATAGTTGCTATAATGCAATCCTCATTCTAGATATTTATTGGCTGGGTATCAATCAATATACATACCATATACTAGGACAAATAGGAGTAAGTCATTGTCCCTGCCTTCAAGGAGATCCTAGACTAGGGAAGATTAGGTGTAAACAAGGGTACCAGGTGTGGTTACTTTGGGAGCTAAGCAGAAAAAAGTACCTAATTTCACCCTGGACAGCTTTGCAGAGGAAATAAATTTTGCCCAAGGACAAGTTGAAAAAATTCTAGGCAGACGTCTGCTAAGCCTGGTGTCCCGCATAAGTGTGGTACATTAGGGAGATGTTCCTGGCAACTTGAACATGAGAACATGTGAGGGTGGCAGAAGATGAAGTTGGAAAGTTATTAATATTACGTGGTTTTAATTTCGTATTCCATAGCTACCTATTACTGAACGTAGAATTTTCATACCTGCAGGCCAGAAAAAGGCCTGAGCAAGAAAGTGGTATTTTGTAATGTCTTTGTTCACTCGCCTTCCCTCACTTAATAGCTTTCACAATCGCCACTGGAATTTAATGTGGGTTAATGTCTTGCACTTGGATCGAAAGAGTTAACTACCAGGGCACAGCACAAGGGAGACCTGACATAGGCATTTTTGCTGACCATAAACTTACCTCGAGCATGACATGAGCCTCAGCTGTCACGAGAGCAGGTGCCACCATACTGCCATCTGTGGAGCCACAGACCCCAGGGAGACAGCTGCAGCCTCCCCACCCGGGTCTTGACCTGACGACATCAGGGCCCCTGGTCAGGTTTGGCTCCTGCCTGCCACTTTTTAGGGGAGATGTGGATAAAATCTAGAAGGAAGATGTCCAGGGAGATGGCCTAGAAACCATCATACAGAGAGCGAAATTAAAAGAAGAGGAACAGGATAGCTTCAGTTATTTTGACAGATTTCTTGAGGCAAAGGTGGATGACATAATGGGCTGCAATTGTGGACTGAGTGGAAATTGGGGGGATTCTGATTTTGGCTAATGTAAGAAATAATTTTGTAAGGGCTTTTTTTTTTTTTTTCTTATCATATAGCACTTTTGAGATTTTTTTTGTTGAAATATTGAAGTGTTTGGACAGAAACTAGACAACTGCCTTCACTTGTGGAGATGCTGTAGAGAAGAGTCCTGTAGTGAAGGGACAGTTCTACCTCGACAGCCCCTTCCACTTTTAAATTCTATGAAATTTAGATTAGTGCCATTTTTTTTAAGTATCTGACTTTGCCACCTTTATGCATATATTAATCCAATTGATTTTAGATTTCCTTATTTTTTAGTATTTGACCAAAAGGATACCACAGAACCCAAGGTATCAGCATGTCAAGTCAAGACTGGACACCGGTGAGTAAAAATTAGAAAAATCGGAACTTTAAAAAAATCTAATTATTGACTGATACAAGAAGAATTAACAAGAAGAAGCCTACCATACCTGGTATAAATCACAGTGTAAAGTTTCTCACTATCTCGCCTGATGTCTTTCTGGACTCAGGATTTACCTTTGAAAGCTGTCTTTCAGATTATCAGTAAAAATTTGTATTCACATAATTTAGCTTGTTATTCCTTACGACATAAGAAATAACATAAACTGAGAGAATGAAATTCCAGAAATTAAAACCATTCTTTAATAAGTTGCAGGGCTGAAGCTAAATAAATATCAGGAGGTCAACTTCTATTTAGGAATACCTTACATATACTCCTTTAAACTGGCAGTAATAGATTATACATGTGCATGTTTGTTCAGTTCAGTGTTTGCCGAGTGCTGACTACATGCAACCTTATGGACTGTGGGAGATAGAAAGATGAGTGTGAATTGTGGTTTTTCATTCAAAGAGCTTAGATTCAAGTGGAGGCAGACAGACTTGAATGAGTAACTAAAGTACCAGACAGAATTTAATTAGTGCTGCAGTGCAGGTGAAATGAACTGCTTATTCCTGTGCTCTTCCCATTTTTCAGTGTCCTGGTAAAGACTGCTGCCCAGCCGATAGCGGATTTGCAGTCTTGTGAGGTTTTGATTGGTTGTTTGTTTATTTTTGTTTTCAACCTTTTTAAAGCCTGCTGTGGAAATCCATCTGATTAAGATGGGTTTGCTGGTGGATTGAGGCACTGCAATACTGAATTTTCCATCAGTAGCCTCACGATAACTGAAAAGTAAACTGGGATGTTGACTTTTTTGATGTTTACTTTGAAATCATCTTGTTTATTTTGTGTTTCTCTTTTTCTAGTCTCCTTCCAAATCATTATCTTCCATTATGCATGTTTACTCATATGAAATAGACTTAAATGTTTTATTTAAATTCCCCACATTTGCAGATACTATTTCTTGGTACCCTTTTTTCAAACATTTTCGTGCCATACAGATCTTTATCCTTGCAAATATCCTGTTTGATGGGCAGGTGGAAAATATTATCTCTGTTTTAGAAAAGGAGGAAATTGTGGCACAGAGCTTTTGTGATTTATTCAGAGTTCAATAAAGGAGATAGAACTAGGATTGTCTGCAGGATGAGGAATGTCAATGCTGGAGATCTGGTGCCAGGCCTGGTGGACTGTTTCTTAGGCCACACTGTCCCTGTGTTTCCCCCAGCCTCATTTCCTCTGCCACACCTACCCTCCAATCTTCCATTTCTGCCCCTCTCCCTTAATTGCAACTGTGATCCACCCTTCTGCAGTAAGGGATTCTGTGGGGTAAGCATCTAGAGTTAAAGTGCCATATTTTTTTCTGAGGAGTCAAGATATGATTTTAAAGACTCCTATAAAGGAATGAATTTCTTTAGGAACCTTTATATCTTCTTAAACTTAAAATATTTTAAAGCTGAGGTTTATTCTACATATATAGATTTATCTATGCCTTCATAGTTTTTTTTCCCTCCCTGGGAATTGAAATGGGTTTGTGAATGACAACCCCTTCTTTCTCTTCAATTCCTCAATTCATAAACAATATGTGACTCAGTAATGGTGTCTGAAATTAATTTCAATTTTTTTGATATTCAGATATTTATATCTGCTTTTTTTTTTTCTTCTTTCCTGACACAGGATCTTGCTCTGTTGCCCAAGCTAGGGTGCAGCAGCATCACCATAGCTCACTATAGGCATGAACTCCTGGGCTCAAGAGATCCTCCTGCCTCAACCTGCCTAGTAGCTGGGACTACAGGTGCACACCACCATGCCCAGCTAATCTTTTAGTTTTTTGTAGAAACAGGGTTTTGCTATATTGCTCAGGCTGGTCTCCAACTCTTGGGCTCAAGTGACACTCCCACCTTGGCCTCCCAAAGTGCTGGGGTTTGGCACAGGCATGAGCCACCTCACCCAGCCTCATATCTTCTTTTTATAATATATATGTTAAATACATATAACCTTTTATATCCTGAGATATGAGTTACAGTGGCCCCATCATAGCTCACTATATCCTTGACCTCCTGGGCTCAAGCAGTCCTCCTCCCTCAGCCTTCCAAAGTGCTGGGATTACTGGTTTAAACTACTTTTGTTCGTTGATTAAACTTTTCATTTTGAGATCATTGTAGATTTACATGCATTTCATAAGAAATAATACTGAGAGATTCCATGTGCGCTTTACCCAGTTTTCCACAATGGTAACATCTCACAGAACTATAATGAATGCACCATCACAACCATGATATTGACATGGATACACACAGTGAAGATCCTGAACATTTCTATCACCACAACGATTCTTTATGTTGCTCTTTTATAGCCACATCCACTTTCCATTTCCACCCCTCCTTAACCCCCGGCAACAACCACTAATCTGTTCTCTATTTCTGTAATTTTGTCATTTCACAAATGCTATATAAATGGAATCATACAGTATGCAGCCTTTTGGATTGGCTTTTTTCACTTAGCATAATTCTCTGGATATTCATACAGGTTGTTGCATGTCATTAGTAGTTCATTCTTTTTTATTAATGGCTAGAATTCCATGGTATGGCTGTACCTGAGGTCAACTATTTACCTATTGAAGGACATCTGAGTTGTTTCCACTTTTTGGCTACTACAAGAAAAGGTACTATAAACATCTGTGTACATATTTTTGTGTGAATATAAGTCTTCATTTCTGTGGGATAAGTGCGTAGGAGTACAATTGCTGATCATAAGGTAGTTACCTATGTAGTTTTTTAAAGAAACTGCCTGTTTTTCGGAGTGGCTATACCATTTTACATTCCCACCAGCATTTGGTTTTGTCACCATTTTTTATTTTAGCCATTCTGATAGGTGCGTGGTGGCATACCATTGCAGTCTTAATTTGCATTTCCCTGATGGCTAATAATGAAGATCTTTTCATTTGCTTATTCACTTTCTGTATATCTTCTTCAGTGAAATGTCTGTTCATATTTTTTGCCTATGTTCTCATTGGATTGTTTGCTTTTTTAATGTTGAATTTTGAAAGTCCCTTATACATTATAGCTACTAGTCATTTGTCAGATATGTAGTTTGCAAATATATTTTCCCCAGTCTGTAACTTGTCTTTTCATCCTCCTAACAGGGTCTTTCAAAGTTCAAAAGTTTTTAATTTTGATGAGGTCCATTTTATCAGTTTTTCCTTTTATGGATTATGATTTTATTATCAAGTCTAAGAACTCTTTGCCTAGCCTAGATCTCAGTGATTTTTTCTATCATTATTCTTCCTAAAAGTTTTATAGTTTTAGGGTTTACATTTAAGTCCATGATACATTTTTAGGTAATTTTTATATGAGGTCTGAGACTTAGATCAAGATAACTTTTGCTTATGGATGTCTATTTGGTCTAGCAGCATTTGGTTAAAAGGTTACCTACACTCCATTGAGCTGCCTGTTCCCCTTTGTCAGAAGTCAGTTGGGCATGTTTATATGGGTCTGTTTCTGGGTTCTTTCTTATGATCCCTTGATCCATGTGTCTGTCCCTCTGTCAATACCATACAGTCTTGGTTTCTGTCACTATATAGTAAATTGTTTAGACTGATTCCCTACTTTATTTTTCTCTACAAACTTATTTTAACTATTCTAATTCCTTTGCCTTTCCATATAAATTTTAGAATAATCTTATTTACATTTAGCAAAAAATGCTGTAATTTTGGTAGGAGTTGCATTAAGCCTGTTTATCATTTGGTGATAATTAATATCTTTATTATGTAGAGTAACCACTAGTCTACCTTCTGTGTCTATGAACTTGCCTCTTCTAAAAATTTCATATAAAGGGAATCATACAATATACAGCCTTTTGTGTCTGGCTTCTTTCACTTGGTGTAATGTTTTTTTGGTTTTTTTTTTTTGAGACAGGGTCTCACTTTATTGCCCAGGCTGGAGTGAGTGCCGTGGCATCAGCCTAGCTCACAGCAACCTCAAACTCTTGGGCTCAAGCAATCCTCCTGCCTCAGCTTCCCGAGTAGCTGAGACTACAGGCATGTGCCACCATGCCCAGCTAATTTTTTCTATATATATTAGTTGGCCAATTAATTTCTTTCTATTTATAGTAGAGACAGGGTCTCGCTCTTGCTCAGGCTGGTCTCGAACTCCTGAGCTCAAACGATCCACCTGCCTCGGCCTCCCAGAGAACTAGGATTACAGGCACGAGCCACCTCGCCTGGCCTGGTGTCATGTTTTTAAGGTTCATCTATGTTGTAGCATGTATCACTACTTCATTCCTTTTTATTGACAAATAATATTCTATTATATAGCTATTCCACATTTTGTTTGTTCACTCATCAGTTGATGGAATTTGGATTATTACACTTTCTGTCCATAGCACTGCTGTGAACATCAGTGTACACATTTTGTGTGAACGTGTTTCTGTCTTTAATTGTTTTTAATTGTCCTAGGTGTATACGTAGGAGTTGAACATGGTAACTCTGTTTAATTTTTTGAGGAACTGCCCAACTGTTTTCCAAAGCAGCCACGCTTTTATGTTCCCACCAGCAACGTGGGAGGGCTCTATTTTCTCCACATCCGCTCTAATGCTTGTTATTATCCATCATTTTGATTATAGCCATCTTTGTGGGCGTGAAGTAGTTATCTCATTGTGGCTTTGATTTGCGTGTTCCTGATGACTGATAATGTTGAGCACCTTTTTATGTGATCATTGGCATTTGCATCTCTCCTACGGAGAAATATCTATTCAAATCATTTGCCAGTTTTTAAATTAGGTTATTTTTCTTCTTATTTGTTGAGTTATAGAGTTCTTTTATAAATTCTGGATACTAGACTCTTGTCAGAAATATGATTTGCAAGTATTTTCTGCCATTCTATGAGTTGTCCGGGGTTTTTGTTTTATATAGCTGGAGGAGTAGAGAAAAATACATCTACCCTATCTTCCTGGAAGCAGGAGTCTTCCAAACTAGTCTTGTAAAGCTTTTAAAAGGGCCAAAATGTGTTTCATTGCTTAAAACTGAAAGTATTTTAAAGTCAGTGTGGGAGAGAAGTCTTATTCTAGCGTTCGATTTTTTTTGTTGTTTCAGATTTAGAAATTATTTTAAAGTCAATTTAGAGGAGAGATTTTATGTTGATGCTTGTGTTTCTATGCATTTTTGTGTCTTATCTCTGTGGGTATTCAGAGGAAGTTTTTCACCTGGCGTGCAGCAGCCCGCAGGTGATGTGCCAAGATACAGATCCCTTCAGCCCTTTGGGTAGCCTGGAACAGCCCAAATCCAGTGTTTTGTCCAAATATTATCATTTATATGTGTGCCATGAGGTGAAAAGAGTAAGGAGTCCTGGTTAAGAAAACACAAGAGGGACCTTATAGCCCAAGTAAGAGTAAGGAGTTCCCATCTGTGGTATGTTTTTAAGCTCAGCAGTCAGTGCAATGAAAGTAGACACAGGAATAAGTGAGTATTTCTCATTTCTAGGCTAAATAGATGGGTCTTTAATCTTTTCTTACCAAACAGTGAGCAATTCAGAGTTAATCACAAGAAATTCAAGAATTTCGTGATATCTCCTGTGTTCACCCAAATCACCTTCTACTGAGTTCTTCAAAGGCTGCTGTCTTCCTCCTGGGTAAAGATTATTTTTTGTTTCTATACTTCTGACTCTACTTCTCACACAAACTCAAGCACTTATGTATAGCCATGGCTAGAAATCTCAGAGTTATTTTGAACTTCAAATATTTCTTTTGTTCCATAGGTGCCTGACTATATTTTACCACCTCCCCACCATTGCCAGCCTGTGCCATGAATGGATTGTGCTTCTGGTGAAATCCCTGACGGCGTTTTGTTCAGTCTCCACTGCAGGGTTCTTGTGTACTCTCAAGCACCCTCTCTGGGTTTCTGTTTTACAGCACTGCAGGCTGATTAAGGGCCACTTTCCAAACTGCAGGGCTCTCTATTAGTCTCCTACACTCTTCTGTTGGCTGCATTGTCCTTTTATTTTCAATCTGTATTCAATCTAATTTCAGATTTCTTTAGCTTTCCAAAATGCTATAGACTTTCTCTATTCAGTCTTTTTTAGCCTTATTTTTATTTTTTTAAAAATTCGCCTGTCTTTTGTTATCGCTACACAAACTAGTTATTTTCTCTTTTCTTCTTTAGTCTTTACTTTTCCTGAATATTCACTAATAGCCTTGATCTTAGACACTCAAACTCATTACAAACTATGTACTCTTCATTTTCATTTGGTTTTTAATTCTGTTTCTTACGTCAAAGGAAGAAATGTATGTGAAAGGCTTTTACAAACCAGAAAGCACTATACATACGTATAACTTATTGAGGTTAACAAAGGACTACTGTGCCTCTTTTCACGCTTTCTGCTCTTCCCAGCCAAAAGAACTTCTCCTGTAGAGGAGGGAAATATTGAAGAAAAATAAAGCTGTGGAGTTGTCTCTTAGCAACTGAGTTTGTGCTTTATAAATCTTATCCTCTTTAGATTACTGCTGCTCAAATCACTCACTTTTCTTACTGGCTCAGTACAAATAATGTTATTAAATTATAGGAAAACAATGGAAAAATCTAACGAATGAGTCATTCAGCTAATTGTGCTCTATCTTTGCATTGTACTATGACATAGTTGGGTTGTTTCTTTCTCTGGATTATAATTATAAAAGTTTTGTTATATATCTTTTATTGCAACTTTAGTTGTAAACAAAGTAGAAGTTAAATCACCTTATTTATTTCTAGGTTGCCTAAGACCTGAAACAGTTAGGGTCATATTGGTAGTTACAACATATACTGTATGTAAGTCAAGTTATATATATTTTAAAGAAAATCAGGTATGCAAAAACTCAAACAAAATTAGAATGTGATTATTTACATTATAAAATAACTCTTTATAGGGATTTTTCAGGTGTTAGATCTTCATAGTATATTTCATTCAGCAAGTATTTTTGAGTGTCTCCTATGCTAAACAACAGAAGGGATAAAGATGGTGTGTGTGTTTTGCGTGCGTGCGTGTGTAAATAATCTTGGGCTTTCCATCTAATAAGGTAGATAAGACAGTTCAGTGATTAAATGCCTTGTGAGTGGTAAGCTGAGTGCTATCGAAGTTCAAAGCAGAGAAAGGTCACTTCCCACCGGGTGAACTATTATGATTACATGGAGAAGGTGATATGATGAAGAACTGAAGACTAAGAGTTTGTCTAATTAAGGCAACGTTGAAGAATCAGCTGTTGGCATCTTTAGTGCTACAGCAAGGAGTTTAAGCTTTACTCAGTAAGCACTGGGGAGCCACTGACTTTTTTTTTCTTTTTAATCAAAGGCTTATCTCGGAAAATGTTATCTGGCAGTAATGTGCAATTTCAAATTTTTGAAAAGTTGGTTCTCTGACATTCTTTTGGCTCCTTTTATATAAACAAAGATGTGTTTATAAATAAGTGAATTATGAAATTGATTCATTTTCAGTCTTTTTAAAAGGTAGTCAAAAATATTTTCAGATGCAATTGGATATGGTAAGATAAGCAGCTTAATTAAGGTACAAGCAGTGTACTGGGTGGGATAAAATGCCACTTTTCATACTTCCTAAAACCATTTTTTGTGTCTCATTTCTCCATTCTTAAAATTGAAGCAAAGCCAAAATCCTCCATTCTCATTTTTCCCCCATACTCAGATAGAATGAATGTGTATAATGAAAAGAGATTCTTATCAATAGCCCTCTCAGATTTGTTCTGAATTTTGCCAAATATTTGTATAATTCTGCAAAACACTTTGTTTCTCTGCCTTCTCATTTAGTGGGAAAAACAAATAAACAAATAAACAGTAGGTGTGGCAGCTTACCCCCTAGTGTTGTGAGGGTGGCTGATACAGATGAAGTGCTGTGTGAATACTGGGAAATGTTCAGAATTAAAAGAGAAATTAACTTTAGACATTTTGTTAGTAGAAACCACTGTGGTTTGGAAATGCAATGTTTCAATAATAAAGACTATATAAATAAGTTTGGCTATTGTTTTCCATGCATCATGTTTTCCATTCTTTAGGGAATTTATAGCATGAGATGGTCCCCACCTGCTACTATTAAGGGGGTAGCACTTTCTACAAATTGACCTCATGATGAGTCGTGTTTTTAAAACAACACAACTGCAAAAGCCATGTGTTTTTGTGAGCCATATTAAAAACCAGGAGGTTAGGAATACAAATCCTGGCTTAGTTACTAACTTGCTGGGTTACTGGCCAGATCAGTAATCCTTTTTGTCCCTCAATTTTCTGACTAGACTGCATGAAGCTTTCCTAGCCAAAAGAAGCTGCCTACCACATCAACAGCATGCAACTGTGGGGGTCTCAGGGACATATAACCAAGGGCTGCTATGTAAAATATTTTAAGAATAAGACTGTGGGAAGCCGAACAGCATACTGATTTGCCATCTTCTTCCCCCATTGTATTGACCAGGCAAGTCCACGCCTGAGTTCAAAGTTGCAGTAGGGAGGCGGGATGTGTGTCCAGGAAGAATTCCTGCCTTCTGCTCTGAAGATCTGGTCACATCTCAGGTCATTTGCAGTCTGAAGAACCTAGAAAAGATGGTACTTGGTTCTAATGCTGTTCTTTGGCAATGTTTGGGCCTCTTCTGAGACATACTCAGTATCCCTCTTGAGAAGACTCAGGCCTTCTGAGTAGCCCTGACTGCCTTCATTTTTCTCTGAACTTCTGGAAGAACACAGTCTGGGTCTAGGACTACACCGAATCCTCCTTTCTGGTCCTTGATATAGAAAATGTGTCACTTAAGATGGGAAAAAAAACCAACAGTGGATTTTTACTACATGATGAATTCATGGTAAAGATTTAGTAATAACAAATGAAGTAAGTTGTTTTTTGAAAATGTATTTTGTGTTTCCAAGCAAGGATTTTCTTCCTCTACTTCTGACCCAAACATGAAGTTCAGAATAGTCGTTGAAAATGTCAATTCATTCCATTAATTAAAAACATTTCTTTTATCTGAAATTGAGGCTGAATCTGACTAGATTCTCTCAAGGCTTAAAAAGTTAGGAACACAGTTTTACAAATGAGAAATTATTTTGAATGTTTTCCCTTTGCCATACGTTTTAGGTGCCAGATAGAGCTTACTGTGTTGAATTGAATCGAATCATAGCACGCCCATTAAAAAATAATAGCCCCTGGCTCGAGAGCTAGAATGTAGTTCATTTGGAAACCAAAATGATCCTGGCCCAGTTTTAAAGTATGAAAACCTCCAAACCACCTTGGCTGGTACTTAGTATTGTAGAACCAGGCTGTAACACATGAAGGGCTCAGGACGTTCCACAGTGGTAGGAATCTTCTGCTATTTCTCAGCAGATCAATCCCATAGTGAATACTAGTGTATGGAGCGTGCGGTCTAGTTCAGGCTGCAACAGGAGCATGAATAGTAGAAGACCAAGTTCAGGGAAGAGGAGGAAACCACAAAGACAAAGCGGAGAGGAAAGGGTTACTTGAGTCGCCACAAAGGCACATTTTAGACATTCAAAGAATGTTGTTTCTTCCTTGCTCCTTGTCTGTCTTCCCCACTAAAAGATTATGGGGGTAATGAAAGGAAGAGGAAAGCCTCAACTCAAAAGAAGAAAAAGAAATTGACATAAAGTGATCATCTGTATTGTCTGGGAGTTCTTAAACACATTTGATGAAACATCTTCCTTGGTTCCATATCTTTCAATGATGCTGTATTATCCAAAAGACCATTGACTTTGCTTTTAAAACAGAAGAAAGAAAAAAATAATAATAAAAATAAAAATAAATAAAAAGACCATTTACTATGTGTGGCTCATGTGCCTACTGTCCAGAATCCCAAGAGAACAGGATAGGAAAGCTTAGGGAATACTTTTTCTCCATTCTGTTTTCACAGTGGTACTCATTTTCTTCCATTTAAAGCATATCTAAAATCCTCATTTTCTTTTTAGGTAACAGTATGACTAAATACACTGAGAGGCTAGAAGAGATCAAAAAAAGTGAGTATGGTTTGGGAAAATGGGACTTTGTAGTTGTCCTATAAGTTGGTTATTAACTAACAACCATGTTCTACAGCTGACGCGCCTGGAGAGCTATAGGAGCCAGGTGAGCATGGCAGGTGCCTCGAAGGATATGGGAGACAGTGGTTACCATCCCTTAGGTCAGCTCCTAAGATTGTGGCCTGTGGGCCTGAGTTCTGCCCAACTTACATCCCCTAAGGGATATTAATATTGGAATGTGGAATGAGCTCTGGTTAATGAATGGTGGAATGAGCTCTAGTTAAACCTGTAGTTTCATTGAATTACAGTCTTCATGGCCTTCCTCAAGGTATTTAATATTTTCTATCTTCTTATTTTGTCTATACTTGAGATGAAGGGGTAATAATATCTCTCTTCATAACATTCTTGTGCGTATAAATTACAGTATTCATGAAAGACTTAGAAGTATAGGAAAGAAAGAGCTTATTCTTAGTGTTATGCATTATCAATTCATTGCAGTCTGTTTTCTTTTAATTAATCATATTTCATCCACATCCTTTTTAAAAACTAATCTTCTGCAAAGACACGTTACTAGTCATTGAGTGTGTTGCCCTTGCACAACATCATAATTTTTCAGTCTGTATCCAAAACTGATGTAAAATGTATACTTCAAGGCCAGAATTAAAGAAGAAGTAGAAACATCTATTTTCGAAAATGGCTTGCTCATAGCTTAAATAAAAGAACCCAGTGCTAGGGGAGTATTTAGCTAATGGTGCTAAAGAGGTACTCTGATTGATCACAGTTCAGGACTTGGCTCTGGTAAAATACATCTTCCTGGAAGAGAAAATTACAAATCCAGAATACACCAGAACATTTCCTTTTTGCACAGCAGACCTTTTAATTTAAAGTGAAAATGTTCTTTTTAAATTGCTGCAGTATTTGGAAGCCTCAGACAATAGGCTTGGACTCGGGCTTTATGCTGTTTTTATTTGCCGTGTTCGGCTGGACAGGCTAGGCTATAGACATTTAAAAATACATATGTAATGTCACCGTATCCTTCTCTTTTCTTCTTCTACATTTCACATTATCATATAAGTAAATATTTTTAAAATATATATTAAATTTTGAACTGTGAAAAAAATCTTGTTTACTCACCTATACTTCATTGTTGTCACCCTTAACTCCTCCACGGCAGGCAAACTCCAGCTGGCCTACTTCTGTCTGAATTTGTGGTCTCTTTCAGCTCCCGTCCATCTGCAGCTGAGTATGAGCTCACATGTCCTCACTAGAAATTTGTCCCATAAACGTGTCCCATTCTGCCCGGATTGACAAAACCTTGTTTAAAACATTTCTTAAAAGTACAATGTGGTTTCATCAATATCTAAACCTTAAATGGAGATTATCTCCCAAAAGAAATACCCTTGGAACAGAGCCCTGAAAATGCTCACATCACCTTCCCTCCTTAGGAGTAGTGGGCTTCCTTTTAGTGAGGCAAGAGGTTCCTGTCACCCTGTTTCATACACTTTGTACTGATTGCCTGACAGAGTTGCTTTAGATTTCTGGTTTGGCATCTACATTTTGGAAGTGATTTCCTTCTCTTTTCCCATTTTCTGTTGTAAGTGTTCTTTTGGGTTGAAAGGGAGGAGAGTATTCCCTTGTTTCACGACACCCTAGACCCATCACTTTCCTCGGATTACCTTAGATGCCATGTCTTTCTGTGAAATCACAGACCTTGTTCTGTTACTTCCTTTGATTTGTCTTCCACTGTGAGCCCAACTTCCCTTTGCTAATAATGCATTTCAACAGAACCGTGAAAATGCAAAAATCCTTTGTAATCTGAATATTCTTTCAACTCTACCTGAGGAAAATAGACACTCTGTGTCTATTGACCATTTACAAAGCCTATTCTTGGTTTCTGGCGGTTAGATGACACTAGTTGGACCCAGTATGAAACATCCTAGATAGTCAGGTCTCTGTCCTTCCAGTAACTCGAGAGAGACAGAGTTAGACCCTAGACTTACTGAAGAAGCAAACTTGATAACACATCTGAAACTAGGGTTGTTTGTCTTCAACACAGAGTTTGGGAGAAGCTACAGTAGCAGAAGCTCCATTCTTAAAGCTCTGTTCGCTCTTGCGAGGACAGACTGACAGAGCCTTCCAAGTAATCCTTTTTATAAAATTTAAAACTTACCGTAAAACGTCTAGTTTGATCTTTTATATCTGAGTAATAATGTCAGAAAGTCCTACTGATGGCTGCCCTTCTAAACCAGAACCAGGTACGTAGAGTTTAGGCTCAAATATACAGGGGGCTTCTAGTGTTTGCTCAGAGGACAGCGGAGATGCCAATCCTTAGAATATACCAAAGTCTAGTTTTTTTTTGTTCAAGGTAATCTCAAAATCAGTTACAGGTGATTTTAACATGTACATCTTATATTTAGAAGTATTTTGTACCATGTAACTGTACCAAAAGAATATCAATGGATAAATTTTGCAGTGCAAACTACTTGAAAGCTGTTGACTGTTTCCATTGGCTGATTTATTGCTGTTTTGATTTGCATAAATGACTTTTGGTGGGCAAGTTGGTGGCAATTGATAGGAACACTGTAGTTATTCAGTTGTACTTTTTAAAGCCTCTGCTCAGCCTATTTGGGATCTGCATCCTGGCAGGTTTTAGAAGCTCCGTTGCATATAGATTTATTACTTTGTTGCATTCTGATGAAGCGGCTTTAAGAATTTTCTAGAAGTAATGGTCTGTTATTAGCCAAATTGCTCTCTTTAAGACATTTTAGAACAGAGAAGTTTTAATTCCTTATTAAAAAGTCTTGACATATTTACAGAAGGCTAGTTTTTAAGGTGGTATCATTTCCTGACTCTGAGTCTTAAGGTGCTTGGTAAACCAAGATTGTATTATCCTCCAAAATAACTATCCAGTCCGTGCTGGTTTTTTGGAAAAGTTCATGGAAATGATTAGTAACACCAGGTAAATAATCTCAAATACCTTTAATCCTTCCCTTTGTTGCTAGGAGTCCTGGCTTATGAGACATTTATGCAGTGAAGGCCATAGCAATTATCCAGCTAACCTTTAGTAATGCTGAAATAATGAGGTCGAGGCCATATTTAAAAAGTCATGGGTACCAATGTGAAAACCTAGAAAAGGAGGAAAGGATAAGGGTGGGTGGTGTACAACACTGAAAACTGTTCAGAGTTGGCAGTCATCTTCAGAAAAGTTGAAGGTAACTAACTTTTAACATGTATCTATGGGAAAGATACTCAGTAAAGGGAAATGGGATCAGTTTTTAATAACTTTAATATGATTTGAAGAATTATTAACACAAGTATCTGCATTTGAGTTATATTCAATTGTAAAGATAGCACTGAATAAATATTGGTGTTTAAGGTTGGTTTTTATTTATTTTTAATTGTGGTTAAAAACACATAACATAAAATTTATCATCTTAACCATTTTTAAGTGTACAGATCAGTAGTGTATATTCACATTGTTGTACAAGAGAACTACAAAACTTTTTCATCCTACAAAATTGAATAGATTTGGTTTTTGGATTTTTGTTTGTTTGTTTTTTGAGACAGGGTCTCACTATGTCACCCCAGCTAGAGTGCAATGGGGCCATCATAGCTCACTGCAACCTAGAACTCCTGTGCTGGGACTACAGGCAGCCACCACCAAACCTGGCTAATTTTATTTTATTTATTTATTTTTTTTCCTATTTTTAGTAGAGATGATCTTGCTCAGGCTGGTCTGGAACTCCTGAGCTCAAAGCAGTCCTCCCACCTTGGCCTCCCACAGTGCTAGGATTACAGGCATGAGCCACCTCTCTCAGCCCGGTTGATTTTTATTGAAATAAAATGGAAGAGAAATTGATACCAAGAAATTATCAGGACCAATCATAACTGTGTGCCCAGCACACACACAGACAAAAGTGTTGTCCTATGTCTCCAGCATAGCCTGTAACCATAGGAATATTATTGCTCTCCTTTCAAACTGAAGTCAGAATAGTTGGGGTGTGAATGTCTTACCAGCTCTTTGACCTGGGGCAGCTCAGCTTCTCTGGGTCTCTGTCCTCGTTTGAAAAATGCAAACGTTTATTCCCTGCTTTGTTCTGAAAGGATTTAAGGTGGCTTACAAAAATGTACACAATACAATGTGGTCAAAGTAGAGACAGCTTAGTGAAAGGAAAATAATAGATGAATAAAATAAAGGGAAGGGGTAAAGTCATTAGATACATAAAAGTGACTTATAAATTTAGTTTTAAGCTTCCTAATGGCAAAAGGGAAAAAAACGAAGAGATGAAAATACCACCTGCCACACCTAATTTCAAAGATATCACAAGGATCAATTGAAATAATGTATATAAAATTATATAAATAACTTGATAGACTGTATAATTTGACAACTAGAAAGAATAGCTTTAAGAAGGCAAAATAAATCTAAATAAATATTTGTCTTATCTGCTTTCAGATTATAGGTACAAAAAAGATGAGCTTTTTAAGAGACTAAAAGTTACAACTTTTGCCCAGCTGGTAAGTTTAATGATCTTTCATTGGAGTAAAGACTGTCTACTTTATGCTGCTTTATGTGAGTATTTCTAAATTCAACTCTAGGGAATGTTTGCAGAGGACTTTCTTCTGATTCTTTGTATGTATTTCACCTAAGAGAGAATTAATTGATGTGTGGTATGTTCACATGAGGATGGTGTGAAATTTTTTTCTCTTCTTCGGTAAGAATTCTATAAAATAAATGCATTTTAATTTTTAATTCATTAAATTGATGGTTTAGGTTTTATTTGTTTTTTTTTGTTTTTTTGTTTGTTTTTTTTTTGAGACAGAGTCTCACTTTATTGCCCGGTCTAGAGTGCCATGGCATCAGGCTAGCTCAACTCCTGGGATCAAGTGATCCTCCTACCTTAGCCTCCCGAGTAGCTAAGACTACAGGCATGCACTACTATGCTTGGCTAATTTATATATATATATATATATTTTTTTTTTTTTTGGTTGTCTAGTAATTTCTTTCTATTTTTTTAGTAGAGACAGGGTCTCACTCTTGCTCAGGCTGGTCTCAAACTCCTGAGCTCAAACGATCTGTCTACCTCAGCCTCCCAGAGTGCTAGGATTACAGGCGTGAGCCACTACGCCCGGCCTAGGTTTTATTTTTCCTTATACATTTAACTTAAAATTTAGAATCTGAAATTCTGGATTCTGGATTATTTCAACATTTTTCTCTGTGAAAACCAAATGATTCCCCCTGGTTTCCCCTTTTCTCTTTCTTTCTTTTTCTTTTTCTTTTCTTTTCTTTTCTTTTTTTTTGAGACAGGATCTTGCTCTGTTGCCCAGGCTGAAGTCCAGTGGCATCATTATAGCTCACTGCAACATCAAACTCCTGGGCTCAAGTGATCCTCCTGCCTCAGCCACCCAAGTGGTTGAGACTATAGGCACACAACCATCACCACACCTGGCTAATTTTTCTTTCTTCTTATTTTTTTGGAGAGATGGGGGTCTCACTCTGTTGTTCAGACTGGTTTTGAACTCCTGGCCTCAAGCAATACTCCTACCTTGGTCTCCTAAAGTGCTGGTATTATAGGCATGAAGCCCTGTGCCCAGCCTCCCCTTTTTTTGACTGAGCTCTTTTCCAAATCATTCTTCCATGGCTATTTTGTTATTTTGGATAAGTCACTTTCTTCTTTCACTTGAAAATTATGGAGGAGGTGTCCCTCCTGCCCCCAAACAAGAGTTCCACTGGTGTAACTCAAGTTGGATCTTGGATCTTATGGGCGAAGTTGTGAAAAGTACTTTAAAAATGAACACTGTATAGGGGTATAAAATGCTATAATCAGTATATTCATTATTACATTTATTTGCCCGGTCTAGAGTGCCGGGCATCAAGTGGAGAATTGCTGTTACCATTCTATGTTATTGTAGGTCAGTATTGCATTTTCCAGAAACAATGTGTTCTGTTGGGACCAGAATATATACAAATGTAGTTTTAAACTCTTAAAATTTCTTGTCCTAAATTATCCTTTTTGTCTTTTAAGTTTATTGTGTAATGTTTTAAATGAATCTTTTCTTCTGGAATGATCATCTGCAGTATAATTACCACTCCAAAAGTAAGGGAGCCTGAGATTTAGTCTCCAGTTGAGAATACTGACAGCTTCTTAAAACAAGAGATCTTTGATGTTTCCTCATCTTTTGTAAAAGACAAAATTGCCTCTGTTTAAAAACAAACACACACCCATCCACACATTTCATCCTTTTTTTCCTCAGGTCATCCAAGTTGCTTCCCTATCTGATCAAACACTGGAAGTGACAGCCGAGGAGATTCAGAGGCTAGAAGGTAATGAGAATTGAGGATGTGGGAAAAATAACAGATTGACCATTTGACCAAAGTACTCACCATGTACACATTTGCTGTTGTGTTCACAGGGACTCGAGACTTTGATGTACCTATTTGTAATTAGATTGTGACTCTCTGAGAAATGCTATCCGGTGCTTTAAATGTTAATTCTTATTTCTTTAAAATAAGCCATCTGGTTTGCTGGCTCTGACGCTTATAGTTTTAAATGTTTTAGATGCGTTTAATATACTAATTATTATACTTTTTTCCAACAAATTTTTATTAGTATTCTATTAATATGTATGTATAGGTCTCAGAATTGGGTGCTGTGAGAGTACAGAGATGAACAAAACACAACTCTGCTATGTGGAATTTATGGTCACGTGTGTACGTGCACGAGTATGTGTGTGTTGGGTGGGGTGGGGTGAATGATAACAGCACCACAAAATTACTAATCTGGCAGAATTTTTAAATGGAAGAATGGAAGGAAACCATTATTTGTTGAATATATATTGCTGAGTACTTCACATGAGTTTTCTTATTTAATCTTCTCAACAACTCTAGAAGGAAGGTACACTTTGCAGATGAGAAGCCCAAGCCTCAGAGGTTAACTTACTTGCTCCAGGCGATACAGCTAGTAGAATGGGCCTAGGATAGGAATCTCAGGGTCTCCAGTACCAGCCAGCACTGCCTGCATTGCACCCTGCACGGATTCTGGAAAGTGGGATTAAGAGAGATGTGGGATGCTGTGGGAGTTCCAAGGAAGGAAAGGTACTTTGCAGTTAGAAGACAAAGTAGGCTTCCGGAAGGCATTTGAACTGGTCCTTTAAGTGGGATAGAATCTTAACAGGTGCAAGTTAAGGGTGAGGCGGTTGGGGGCTGAGGAGCTGCCTGAGAAAGGCATGGAGATGAAAGGACACAGGCGTGTCTGGGCAGTTAGGTAATCTAATCCGGCTGTGGTCTTCGGGAGGAGTAGGACTGGGTAAGAGATAAGGCTAGAAAGATAGGTAGGCTCCAGATTTCCTTTCTTAAATACCAAGTTGGAAATAAAACCTCCTAGTTGTACTCTCATGAAAAGAATACACAGAGTTAAGGTCTTTATTTTATCCTGAAGTACCCAGCGATCAATGTGTGGCTGTTTATTGAAGGGGAATTTTTTGTTAAGGTTGGGAATGTTTTGTTAAGGTTGATGTAGGTCAGGAATTTGACTTCTGATTTCAAGACAAGTTTCTCAGGAAGTCTGAACACTGGGGTTTGTGCAACTCAACTGTCATTTCCCTGGGCTGGTTTTTGTTAGGCAGGATAAAGGGAATCTGAAAATGACAGGAATTTATCTTTGACAGATGCCTCTCACCGGCAGAGAAATAAGGGCTCTTTGTAACAGGGATAATTGAGTCTCCTCATACAAGTACTCCCAATTTTTACCGGGTTATATAAGCACCTAGATTTGGTCCTTTAATTCATTGTTGAGATTGAAGCACCAGAACATATAGGGACATGCAATTTTCTCTTCTGAGATAAATTTGCACGGAAAATAGGCTGTTGTTGTAAAATAGGACACCATAATATGTGAATAATATTAGTGTTTTTCTAGTGCTCTACACAGATAATAACTCACTCTGGAGTGCCTGTGGAACAGATTGTATCTGTATGCATATTGGCTATAGAATACAAAAATCTCCTTTATCACTTTTCCCTGAATTAAAAGTATATCTCTAATAAATTAGAAAACTGCAAAAAATATATAAAGGAGAAAATCTAAATAACTAATGTCTGTTAATATTTTAGTCCATTTCCCCCCAACTAACTCCTCACCCCAATTAAATCCATATTCTTTTGTTTTGTATTATGCTGTTTTCAGTTAACATTTTTTCATGCATACTTTCCTATGTCATTAAATAGACTTTAAAAGCATGATTGTAAAGATTGTGTTATCATATAATGTCTATCCTTTGGATATTTAATTCTTCTCCTATTGTTGGGGATTACAGTTTTTTTCTGATGTTTCACTTTTATAAAATAATGCTGCAATGTATATATATAAATGTTGGTATGATTCCCCGAAGATAAATGGCTGCACATGGTCAATGGGTGGAACCATTGTAGATGTTCAGTTTAGATTGTGATTGCCACACTACCACCAGCATGGCCATACCTCTTTGCATTCCTACTGAGAGTGAATGAAAAGACCTTTTTCTCCTCATCCTAGACCTAGCCAATGCTGAATTATTACCATTTTTGCAAATATTTGCCAATTCAATGGATGAAAAATAGTACCTAATAGTTTTATTTTTAATTTCTCTGATAGTGAGGTTAAGCTGCCTGTGCATGTACTCTGTGTGTGTGTATGTGTGTGTTTACTGGTCATATCAAATATTTTTAAGAACTTTACATACTCTTTCCCATTTTTTTAAAATAGGATGTTCGTCTTTTCCTTATTGATTTGTAAGAGCTCTGAATAATTATGATTACCGTCCTGCAGTAAAAATGAATGCATCCTTGAAAATGAATGAGAAAAATCTTACTTGATTTTTATTACTAGAAAGATGAGAAAAATCTTACTTGATTATTTGGAACAATTTCCAAGCTGTGTTATTAAGTAAAAATAAAACAACAACAAAACAAACAAAAAACCCAAAGTGCAGAACAGTATGAGCAGAATTCTCCTGGATATGTAAGACGGGGAGGAAGTGAAATACATGCAAAAGTATGTAGTTGTTTTATTTCTGGAAGGAGACATAGTATCTGAAGGTGGTTTCCTTGGGGGAGGAAGGCCTGCAGGAAAGAAGACTTCCTTTCCATATTAACAATTTTATGTTGTTTGCATTTTTACCTTGTACACTTGATCCTTTTGCATTTTTTACCTTGTGTACATTAAAGAACAAGTTAATTTTTAAAGCGATTAAGTATATTAACCTTTTCTCATTCACATGTGTTGTAGATATTTTTCCTAGTTTGTTATTCATCTTTTAACTTTTTTTTGTTAGTTTTTGACATATATGAGATCAAGTTTTTTTTACATGATCATATCTATTAGCCTTTACTGTTGTGTTTTCTTTTATTGCTTTACACTCATAAAGTTCAAAATAAAGTAAACTATTTACCTATATTTTCTTCTATTGGCTTTTTGTTTTTTTTTACTTTAAACCATCTATTATGTATTTTGGTATATGATGCAAAGTGATTATCTAAATATTCTTTTTCCAGATAGTTGAAAAATATTCCCGGTACCATTTGCTCGATAGTTCTCCCTTTACCCACTGATTTGTGATATGGGTATATTAACTTTTTATATATGTTCTAGGTTTTGTTGCCATGTTCTCTACTGTATTCCATTGTCCTGGTTGTATTTCTGTACTGTTTTGATCATTTACCTTTTCAATATATGATACTATTTGATAAGACAAGTTCTCCAAATTAGCCTTAATTTTATAGGGGTGTGTGTGTGTGTGTATACATATGCTCTTCTTATCTTTGAAATCCTTTTAAGTTTTTAAAAATCCCATTGGGATTAGTATTAAGGCTAAAAATTAAATTTGGAAAGGATTCACTTCACTTCACATTTAGTTGTCCAGTCAGGAATATGTAAGATATGATACTATCTTCATTGAGATCTTCTTTATGGCCTCTAAGTAAAATTTTTATAAGTCTAATAAAAAGGATTTATAAGTTTTTTAAGTTCTTTACATTTGTTTTAGGTTTAATTTTAGGTGAGTATATTTTACAGCTGCAGTTGTTACTGTAAATGAGATGTTACTTTTTAGTTGGTATAAAAATATTTTATTAGCATTTTTTAATCTTACTATATGTTTATTGCCCTTATTCTGATAGTATTTGCTTGAAGTTTCTATAATAGGTATATTATATGCAAATTAAATTTTAATATCTTCTTTAATAATTAGGTTCCTTATTTTTATTTTTTCTCTCATTGTATTAATTAGAATAGCAAATTACTAAACTTTTTGGTCTCAGTCTCCCTCTACTTGCTTAAAAATTATTGAGAACCCCAAAAACCTTTGGCTTATGTAGATTATATCTATTAATTAGTATGTTAAAAATTTATACTGAGAACTTAAACAATATTTATTTATTGTTTAAATATAAAAAATACTAAAATGCAAAAGTCATAAATATAAATAATATACTTTTATGAAAAATAGCTATATTTCTAAAACAAAATTTTATTGGGAATGGCACTGTTTACATATTTTACAAATCTCTTTAATGTCTGATTTAATAAAAACAACTAATTTTCTTATCTGCTTCTGCAATTCAGTCTGTTGCAATATGCTGTTTGGATTGAAATACATGAAGAAACTCCAGCTCACACAGACCTGTAGTTGGAAAAGGAAGGAGTAATATGTCCCTTTCAGATAATTGTGGATATTTTTCTTTGATACTACGCCAAAAGTTGACAACTGGTAGTTTCTTAAAGGTTGGCTGTAATGTGGAATCTGCCACCATATCAATAATTTCATATCCTGTTATTAATACTTTAAAATCCATCTGTCTATCTCACGCTTTGAATGAATCTTTTACCTTATTATGAATCATACATTGGTCATTTAGAAAATATTGGTTCACCGTGTTATGAAGATCTTTGCAAATGTTAGTGAATTTCATTACACACTATCAAAAAAATCACATTTATTAATCTTAACATCTATCTTATCAGAAAATTCTGTAAGTGTGGAAAGCAGCTACCCATATTTCATTCAGCTCCTGATGGCAAATACAGTTTCCCAAATTCTGAGTTTTGCTCAAAATTTAATCGTTAGCAACAAATACCATCAGTAGTTTTTTTTGAAATGACAGGCTTACTTAGTTCATTTTTGAGAAAATGTCTGCCAAATACACAAGTCTAAGTACAGTAGTTTTTCTGTCAATTTTTCTTCCAAGTAAAAAAGGTGTTCATGGCAAAAGCGGCTGGTTCAGCTCGCAACTCAACAATCACACTAATCCTTTTCCTTGAGATAACCCTGGTAATTGGGTATGTAGCAAACTTAACTGTATGTGGACTCCCCATGTCATCACATAAAACATTAAAAAGGCATGTACTTAAAATTATTAATTGTTCCTGCTTTATCAGGGACTTTTTTAGTGTGACTGCCTTATTTATTTACAGTGAATGTGTACATAATGGTGAAAAATACAATGATTGTGACTTCTTATGAAAATATTTTTTCCCTTACACACCTCCCAAAAGAGTCTTAGGGACACCTGGGGTCCACTACATTTTGAGAACCTGTGCTTTAGAACTTCCAGAACAATTGAATAATGGTGATAAGATTTCCTTTTCTAGACTTAGTTTCATGGATCTGCCTAATAAGTAAATACAAAGGCTGAGGTTAAATTTGATTATTTCTTCGCTTGCAAATTTTAGACAACGACTCTGCAACTTCAGACCCTGATGCTGAAATCACTGCCAGGACCAATGGGAAAGGGAGCCCGGATGAGCAGTCACCTAGTCCTGTCCAGTTCATAAACAGCACGGGAGCAGGGGACTCCAGTCGCTCAACTCTTCAGAGGTACTCTTACCTGATTCATATTTTCACTGTATTTTCCCTTCAGATTAATCTAGAAACCACTTTCAGTAATTTATTTACCTTAGAAACAAAACTGGCAGTTGTAAAGTTCCACCTTTTAATCCCAGCCCTTCTACTTTCTCTATATAAATGCCACTTCCTCAACCTTTTTCACAGTATTCTTACTGAGTTAATGTAAGACTATATCAATAGAGTTTTCTCTATATAAACACCACCTCCTGAACCTTTTTCACAGTTTTCTTGCTGAGTTAATGTAAGACTATATCAATAGAGTATTAATTTTCACTTCTTAGTTCCATTCTTCTCTCGCCTATACATAAGTTTGTTATTAGGACTTAGCTTTATAGGTAGTATCTTTTGATTCAGAGAATATAGTTACCACCCCTTTTCTGTCTGCTGCAGCTTATAATTACCCTGTCTAGAGTTGCAGTGCTGCACATGGTGCTCCGATGCTGAATAGGTGCAAAGGAGGGTGAAGCAGCACTTGGTGTTGATTCTAAAACTGCACATGGCTGGTCCTTTTTTCAAAATTCTTTCTTTCTTTCTTTCTTTTTGAGACAGAGTCTCCCTTTGTTGCCCAGGCTAGAGTGAGTGCCGTGGCGTCAGCTTAGCTCACAGCAACCTCAAACTCCTGAGCTCAAGCGAGTAGCTGGGACTACAGGCATGCGCCACCATGCCCGGCTAATTTTTTCTATATATATTAGTTGGCCAATTAATTTCTTTCTATTTTTTTATAGTAGAGACTCAGGCTGGTTTTGAACTCCTGACCTTGAGTAATCCGCCCATCTCGGCCTCCTAGAGTGCTAGGATTATAGGCTTGAGCCACCACGCCCGGCCAAAATTATTTCTTTTATTTTATTTTTCTCTACTCCTCCCTCTCTACTCCATGGTCCTTCTTATCCCATAGATTTACATGGACTTTATTCCATGCAGTCCTTTCTCACAAATTTTAACTATTGATTATAAGACATTGCTGATATTCAGCACATAGCCATTCCTTCTACTGGTAAAAACAATTGTTCTAGAGGAAGAATTGCTGTCATCAGTACTATCATCATCATCATCATCATCATCATACTACTTTTATGAACAGACTCTAAAAATGCATCCAAGAAGAGATAGGCCAACAGGACTTCCACTGCAGGTGCAGTTTCATATCAAATGGATTTTCTTCTCTTTTGGTTCAACAAAATATGCAGTATTTGGCATAGTTATAGTTTTGTTTTTTGTTTGTTTGGTTTTTTTTTGAGACAGGGTCTTGCTTTGTTGCCCAGGCTGGAGTGCAGTGGCATCATCATAGCTCACTGCAACATCCAGCTCCTGGACTCAAGCAGTCCTCCTGCCTCAGCCTCCCGAGTAGCTGGGATTACAGGCGTGCCACCAGGCCTGGCTAAGAGTTATAGTATTTATCGTATTTAAATGCAAAATTTGATTTGTTGTGGCGGGAGAGGAACTATGCTACATACTAATCTGTAGTTTAGCATATGTGTCTTAATATTTTTAAGGCAAGTAACCATCTTCTTATTCCAATACAGATGTCTCACAATTTGCCATTTTGTTCATAACACTTAATCTTCTTATTCCTTTTATTCATGTTTTTACCACATCTTTCCTATGATATTAAGATGGTGATCAATTTTAGTGACTTAATGACCTTAGAAAAGAACTGTCAGTGGTAAACATCCTCATTTTAATCTCAGCCCTTCTTCTGTCTCATTCTATGAATGTCACCAAATGTAAAAGCCTCTTCCACCCCAACATTAGAACCTATAAAATGAAAGTAAGTACAGATAACTATTGCAAGTATTAAGGTTCAATATGTACAGTGAATAGGTCACTGGATAAGTATATGAAATCTATAAAGTATTATTATTACTTTATATATTACATATACATAGTAACAACTTTCATTTTTCCCCGTCCTGGCAACCTTATCCTTTCCCTTTTTGCTCTGATTTCTTACATTCCTCCAGATTCCATTGGATTAACTGTTCCCCTCTTTCTTTCTCTGGATGCTGCCCCTGCTGCTGGAGGTAGCATGTGCCCTACAGTCTCTACCCCCTCAGTCATGTAAGGACTTAACATGCCCTGTCTGAAGGTGAGTAGGGACCCGTGGATCTTCTCTTTGGGGCCCAGTGTGATAGAATAGGAATCCATAGGACGCTGCATTCAGAGGCGGAACTGAGACACGATATCCACTTTCCTTTCTCTTTGAAGCATCTTTTGAAAAACTACTGAGCACTCGTCTCACTGTACTGAAGAAACGCATTTACCTTTAAGCCACCAACCCCTGACTAGTTTCTGCTGACCTACTTTTTCACTTGCAGCGTCATCAGTGGTGTTGGGGAACTGGATCTGGACAAAGGGCTAGTGAAGAAAGCAGAGCCCAATACCAAAGACAGACCTTATCCTGACTGTCCCTTCCTGCTGCTAGATGTGCGTGATAGAGACTCTTACCAGCAGTGCCACATTGTTGGAGGTGAGAGAGAGAAGGCTTTAAAGTGCACTCAACGCCCAAGAACAGAGTCTGTCCTTGAGTCCAGGCAGACTTGAACCACAGCCCACGGTCAGCAGTTAAGCCAACCACGTGTTAGCTGCATCCCTCATGGAAACCTATAGGGTTGGCGCCACTCTAGTGCTCTGGGCTGGGCTGGTGATTTTCACAGATGGCTGTTGGAAGCAGTGAAGTGAAGCTTCATACTTTGTTCATAGTGTCTTGTTTCTTTTCTTTCACAAAAATACTTAAGTTAATGGCTCATTGATTTTGAAAATATATTTATTTATCTTAGATTTTAAACCAGCTGGGAATTAGGGCCAAGTTGTACTAAGAGAACTACAGACTTTCTAAACTTTTTCTTCTTTTTGCAGCTTACAGTTACCCAATTGCAACTCTGTCTAGAACAATGAACCCTTATTCAAATGATATTCTTGAATATGTATCCTTTGTTGCGGGAGTTGAGTTTAAGGAGTTGAGTAGTATGAGGATTGTAAGAATCAAATTTATCTTGAGTCATCCTCCTGGTTAAAAAAAACAAAACAAAACTGTGAAGGACCTTTGATATTAATCAGCTTAGCATCTTTTAGAATTTGGATTCCTAGCTGAGAATTCTGACTCTATTAAGACAGATACTTCCAAACTATACTGCATTGGGCCAAAAAACATTAGGTTAAGGGTTAGGATCCATTGAGAATAGTCCTAAGAGCTTCCCTCCCTCCCAGAAAGCCTTCCCAAGTAGAACTTAAGAAGTAAACTTATTTTAATTTTTTCTTCTTAAAATTTTAATTTATTTCATTTATAAAAAACTTACATGTAGAAAATAATTAAATATTGAAAAATATCAATATGAAAAAGAAAATTGAAATCTCTTGTAATCTACACAATTGAGCAATAGCTCCTATTGTATTATTGATATATTTTATTCCAGACTGTCTCTTATGTGTTTTTTTTTAGAAAGTTGAAATCATACTGTATATGTAACTTAGTACCTTGCTTTTTTTCACTTCGTATTATAATATATTTCCCCATGCTGACACAAGCTCTTTGTAAACTCCATTCTTTTTTTTTTTGAGACAGAGTCTCACTTTGTTGCCCAGGCTAGAGTGCCGTGGCATCAGCCTAGCTCACAGCAACCTCCAACTCAAGCAATCCTTCTGCCTCAGCCTCCCAAGTAGCTGGGACTGCAGGCATGCGCTACCATGCCCGACTAATTTTTTCTATATATATTAGTTGGCCAATTAATTTCTTTCTATTTATAGTAGAGACAGGTCTCGCTCTTGCTCAGGCTGGTTTAGAACTCCTGACCTCGAGCAATCCTCCTGCCTCGGCCTCCCAGAGTGCTAGGATTACAGGCATGAGCCACCGCGCCCAGCCTAAACTCCATTTTTGATACTGTATAATATCTCACCTTCAGATTTACTATAATTTACTGAATGTTCTCCTATGTTGGACTCTTAGGTGGCTCCCATGTTTAATTATTATAAACAAGGCTTCTGTGGACACATCAGACATAGAAGTTTTTCTATTTCCTTGTCTAGAAAATGGAGATTGTAATATTTACTTTCCAGGATTGTAGGGATAAAAGAACTAAAGGGTGTAAAGTCTGTAACTAGTCCTGTCTTAGACCATGGTAGCGTTACTTTGTAAAAGAAAAGAATACTAGTTTGTGAGGCTTTCATGACAGGAAAAAACCCCAGTAATCCAATAACTACTGGTGCAATAGGAAGAATGGGCTCATCCGACATTCCTCAGAACTCAGAAGGGTGACTGTGACAGCCCTCTGCCCCTTGGGCCTTCCTGATAGTCTAGGAGCATCGGCTAGGTGCCATGAAACCTTAACTCATCTGACTCTTAGAAAAATGCCCACGGCAAGATCATCATTCTGTATGACGACGATGAAAGACTGGCCAGCCAGGCAGCCACCACCATGTGTGAGCGGGGATTTGAAAATCTCTTCATGCTTTCCGGAGGTGAGCAAAGTCATGCTCTGCTCGGGACTTAAAAGGCAGATATTTGGACTCGCAGTCCTTCAGCCCCACCTCCATCACCTTTTTCCTCTCCGTGCTCAGAATTTAGTGTTCTGGAAAGAGAGAAAACCATGCTGGCAAAAGGAGTCACGAGTTATGTGAAACTTCCCTTAGCTCTATCAGCACGTGCTTTTAGTTCCTAAAATAATGATGTTGCTTCAGGGCTCTGTGAGAAAGCCCTAATGCTGAAGACGTGAGCAAAAGGGCTTCTTGCGGCATTCTCAGAATCCCATGTAACTCCTGACATGTTCTGGTGTAAGTTGCTCAAAGATGAAACAGTTAAGAAAGATTTCATGTCCTTGTGTTGGCCTCAACTTGGTGATCAAAGATTAGAAGACATGCAGGCTTCTTTGCAGGTTTTGGGTTGGCCTCACCATGTTAACGCTGCTTTTTCTGATGTTCTTCTAAACCTAGGTCTAAAAGTCTTAGCTCAGAAATTCCCAGAAGGACTAATTACTGGTTCCCTGCCAGTGCACTGCCAGCAGGCCCTTCCTCCTGGTTCTGCCCGGAAACGATCCAGCCCCAAAGTGCCGCCCCTACCAGCTGAGAATAAATGGAGATTTACCCCAGAAGACTTAAAAAGGATAGAATATTATCTGGAAGAGGATCAGGGTCCTGCAGATAATTCTAGTAAGATATGTTGACCTTTAATATTTTCTGTGGAATGTAAGGTTTGCAACTTTGAACATCACCGCGTATGAAAAGCTTTATCTCTCATATTAAATTCTTAAAATATTTGGGAGGATGTGGTACAGGTCTAGGGAGAGGGGACAGTGAAGATGATTGCAGATAGCAGCAAGAATTAGGCATTGGGCAGAGACACAGAGAAGAGACTTTATCAAAATGTCCATCTCAGGCAAAGTTGAGAAGCTGAGCTTAAGGCATTCAGATTCCTTCTTGGAAGGCTCTCATTTCTTTCTGCTTCCTCTGGGTACATTTAAACTTCTGAGGGCCTTCTACCTACCTTACCTGGATCACGCTACTTTCTATTCTCTTTCCACTAAGTGCTCCTTACCCTGCATTCCTCTCTACCAAGGAAGGGATGAAGGACAGGCTAGGTCTGCTGAGGTTATGGGCAGGAAGGGGAAAAGGCTATCTGGGTTTCCTCCTTCCCTGCCTCCTTCCCCACCTTCCAGTTGATCTGAAGGATGAGGAGTAGGTCATCACTGGCCTAAAGCAGGATTTCGTTAGCTTAAAAGTGGCTGTAGACTAGGACTTCATTAGCCTAAAAGTGTATCTGGCAGATTGTCCTTGGAATCATTCTTGTAGCTCTGCTCCTGCTTTCTTGCTCCCTTCAGGCCGGCTGAACCAAGCTAACTTCTCCGGAAGAGACTCCAAGGTGCCTGGTGTCCGCAGTGGTCAGAACCTGCCTGCCGGGAGCCCTGCCGGGAGCCCTGCCAGCCACTCGAACCCGCGCTCACTCAGCAGTGGACACCAGCAAGGCAAACCCTGGAAGTAAAGACTTTGTCTCCCTTAGTCAAATAAAATAAATGTTTTTTCTCTTTTCGGAACCCCTGAGCAGTTCCCAATTTGGTCATTTTCAGAAACTGCTGCAGAGGAAAGCCTGGGACATGTGGGATAGGCCCTCTTCCCTCTCCCCGTGTCCAGTTCCGCTCCCCTCGGCCGACATGGGAGGGATTTTGACAGGTGACCACAAAAATCAGAGGCCTGACAGGCTCCAGTGTCTCCCTTATTGTTTACAGAATATTTAAGTCTTTTGAAACCGAAAAGGAAAAAAAAGTCTAATTGAGTGGAGGAGTAGGCTTTTTAAAATAATAATAATAATGATGATGATAATAAGGTCCCGCTTGTTTGAGCTATATCCTGTGTTGTTCTGTAAATACTTCAGTCACATCTGCCGGTGTGTTCTCCCCAGTCAGTTTTTCCATTCACTGTTCTTGATTTCATGAAGGATTCCCCAGGTAGGCTTGGTGCAAGAAGCTGTCCCCAAGGTGCAGATGAGTCTTAAGTCCCAGCCACGCGCGGGCCCCACACTGAGCTCGGGCTCCCCGGCTGCGCAGCTCTCTGCCCAGCACAGCGCGGTCTGTCGTGAGTCCGGAGGCCAGTGCCTGTGAGCATCACCCAGTGTTACGGTTTAGCAGAGTAGCTACACACTTACCGAACGTTCCCCTCGCTGGATGTTTTCCTGGAACCAGAAAGGTGTACGCTCAACTGTCTTCACCCCCCGGAGGAGGGCCTCTCCCGGGAAAGCCCTGGCCATTGTGCAGGTCTGTGTTGAGATCCCCGCCAGGCCCCCCGGAGCAGGCCCTCCCTTGTGGTCGGTATAGCAGTTGTGAATTTCCACTGCCCAGCTTGGGCCCATCCACGTGAGGTGGATAGAAATTATGGCCACTTGAAAATATCAGCTTCAATTAGACAACTGGAGACCCACAAGGTGAGCAGGACCCCGAAGTCCTTTGTGAGGGCTGGCAGCCCCCGAAGCCCTTGCTTAGGAATACAGTATTAGTCTAATTGAGTAATTAGTGCAATTTCCTGCTTACTTTTCATTCTCATGACTGAGCTGTGATTAGGAAGTTGTGATTATAGATTCTGGTTTTGGCCGGAATTTTGAATCAGCATTAATTGAATTGCTAGATGACTGACATTCATTCCATTTAATTGGGGGAACAAAAGACCTCAGGTAAGGATGAGGGACTCTGAAATTACATGGAAAAAGAAAAGAGCCTTGTTAATTTTTATGGTCTGTGATCGTAGCTGTGATAAGGGACCAAGAAATAAATTGTGCTCTTTGTCATGGCAACCGGCTTCTTAAAAGCCAACTGAAAATTGCCTGTCCCGCTGGTTACTGCTGCTGGCTAAGATCTGCCTTCACGGTACTATTTTCTCTCCACCTTAAAAAAAAAAAAAAAAAAAAAAAAGCACCGCAGTATTTCTAGCATGGGGGCTGTGTTTGTAAGAGAAATAAATGTAATAAATATCTCATAGAGACATATGGAAAAATAACTTTCAGATTCAGCCCAGTTCTGATTTAGAGCGTGTTTGTTCCTCTCTACTTGATTTCCAAAGTGCAACATTTTCCGATGCTTTAGAATACAAACAAACCAGGGATATTGTTGAGATGTCCAGCCGTGCCCAATTTTCCACAAGATTCAAGAATCTTGTATAAAATTCAGCCAGCGTACATATAGCTTTAATGAGGAGCCTGTCGTGTTTCCCCATAAATTTATTGCCTGAGAACTTACTTTAGCCCTTTGCTAATGCCAAAATGCTCTGGCTTTTTATTTTCTTTACGGCATAGATAGAAAAATGTAAATTTTTCCACTCAACTTTCCCTTAGCATGGATAAGATTTTCAGCCATTTGACAAATATGCATTTTTAAGGAAAAAATATTTTGTCTGTAACAAAGTTCCAATTATGCCATTTTAAAGCTGGCTAGTCACGAGTTTAGACTTCCCCGCCTGATTCTATTTTGAAAGTAAATAGTAGTCTCCCTTCGTTCAGATTCTGCATTCCCATCATCAAACCACGTTGGAGTGTTAGAAGCCACTGTGTATATGTGGACAGTTGGTTTAGCCAAACCTAATAGAACTGTTGTGTGTTTACCTGAGAGATCTGACAGGTTGAATAAATTTATGTGTATTTCTTCATAGTGCTTTGCCCCACTAGTAAGGATTTTAAACATCCATTCCTCAAAAGACTTGTTCTGATTCTGTGCTTTGTGTTAAATGTTACTATCAGACATTTTTTTACATGCTTGAGGTATTGCTTTTAGTGTTATACTTTACTAGTTTCTCCATTAGATTAATTGATATTGTATTATTTAAATGATGAGTGTGATGCTTTGTGCAATTATGAATGTTGAAGATTAAAGTACATAGTTACTAATTTGTCGTTTGCTATTAATATGCTGAAACCTGCCAACTTCTCTCTTCCTCTCTGCCTAGAGGATTTGGGGGAGCCACAGGAGACTGGGGTGATTTGAAAGAGCACCTCTTTTTGCTGCTTCTCCCAGAAAGACATATGTTCTTTTATAAATGAATCAGGAGATCAGTCCAATTAATGGAAGGGACCTTAGCTCCCTAGTCAGACTGCCTGGGGCTTTGTTTTCTTTCTTGCTCAGGCAGGACTGACGGCCACCTTAAACAAACTGGATCCTGGCTTCTGGTCAGTGTTTCGGGGTCGACTAGCTGCCCTTGCCTGGGACTTAGGCCCCCCAAGACAGAAAGTGCTTTATCGCTGTGTAGCTGCAGCTCCACCTGAACTACGGTGATGGCCACAGTCTAAATAATACATTAAATGCTTTAAAGGAGTATGTTTTTAAGAAAGAGAGAAGGGAAAGAAAGAAGTAAGGAAATAAGGAACTGGGGGGAGGGAAGAAGAGAGTCGAAAGGGGGAGAGGGAGGAGAGGGAGGAGAAAGCTGCATTACTCATTTGAAAACAAAAGGAACATCCTGGGCTGTAGTATTGTCAGGCTCAATTTGTTGGAAAGTATAGAATGATTTAAATGGCCTACAAGTCATTTTATATTTTACCTTTAGTTGAAAGCCGGAACCAGCACATTCATGTTGGACTTGGTATAAATCAGAATTAAAAGAGAACAAATAAGGTTCGTTAGTTCCTCAGGGATTTTTTTCTGTGGTGCTATTTAGATTATATAAAAATTCTTAAGACTTTGGCCTCACCAAGAAATCAGAACAAACAAAAACCTTCTTTTCTCCAATTCCCTTGTGAAATATTAGTGAAATCAGAGTCCTAGGCTAGGAAGAAATATGTAGGTAATTTTTCTTGTGTTGGTTTTGATTTCTGTCGTGTTGTTTATTGGTTATAGATTCTGTCTTTTATATTATCTGACTTTTTTAGAGGGATAATTAGTTTCTGTCCACCTGAATTTAAATCCATGACCACCTTCTTGCTCTGCTCTGAAGATAATCATTAAGAACATTTCTTTCTCCGGTTCCAAAATGTTCTCTGTCTCTTTAACACGTGTTTATTTTCTTCATAGTACATTCAAAGATGTAATTTGTATAATACTTATTTTTCATAAGAAATATCAGAAAATGTGGATTATAATTCATCAGTTTAATTATGTGGGCATGTTGACTACTTATATGCAGTTCAATTTATTTTTTGATTAACACATATGTTTTTCACGTAAAAGCAATAAATAAGACACGCCGTGTTTCCGAAGTGTTCAGATACATTTGGGTGGTAATGCTTACCTAGGCTTGTAATAATTATTGAAATTATTATTACAGCATCCTTAAATTGCTACACAGCTCAGTTATAGGATAAAAAAATGTAATGCCAGAAATTTGTCAGTCTTGAATTCTGACAGAACAGGATTCAGTGCACGGTCTTATGTGCGTGTGTTTGTCGTGCTGCGGTCCTCTTACAGTCTCACCCTCCTCGCTGACGCTCTTTGTTCTAAATGCGGACGCGAATTCTCTTGTCTGCGTCATGTCCTGAGGCACCTGGTGAAATGTGTCACAAGCAGAGGGCACTTATTAAATGCTGTTGACTGATGGACTACATTTTCTAAAGGATATCAATATGTCTTCTCTCTGAAATTATTTTGACTATGAGCTCCCAGAGGGTGAAAAATCACCAGCCTGCGACAGTGTCCCTTAACAAGTGTTTTGAATAAATGAATTGAACTTGTCAAGATTGAGGTCTGGATGTGACGGTGGTCACTCCACGCTGGTCTGCCATTCTGGAGACCCAGAAAGCTCGTTATCTTTTGTCCCTGTGTGCACCCTGCATTTGTTAGATCTCTCTCTCTGCAGGAGGTGCTCAGGGAACTGCTGGGGACATTATTATTCTGGCTGTCGGCTGTGTGCCAGGCTCCAGATTCTAGCAAATACAGGTTGCACACCATCCTCATCTAAAAATGTGTTATTTTTCTCTTTTGTTTCAACTCTTAAAGATCTCCCGAGAATAATACTAGCCAATATTTATGGAGAGCTTACTATGTGTCAGGCAGTTCTCCTCCATTCTTCATTATGTGTTTTGACTCCTTTAATTCTCACAACAGTGCTGTGAGATAGGTACCCCCTTTTCAGATGAGGAGACTGAGGGTCGAGTAGAAATTAAATGACTCAAGGTTGCCTTGAGTCACTGAGCTAGGTGGTTGGGAAGCCAGGATCCAGCCTGAGGATCGTGGCCCCAGATGACATTCTTTTAGCCACTCTGGCTGTGCACAGCCATGTCCTCCCTTGGTGATGCCTCTAACTACAACGGGACTGTCACTTTCCCTTGGCTGTTGGCTTCTCTTCCATCCTAGCCACCCAAGATTCCACAGAAAACTTTCCTCCTGCCTGCATGAAAGACAGTGTAAATTCAGGAGCCGAAACTTCCATTCCTGGGAATATGCATTTCTATGATCTGTGTCCAGTGTCCTGTCTTGAAGATGGGTGGTGCTCCAGGGTTTCTGAGTTTATTTTGTTTGTTAGTGGAAAACCTGTGAGGTACCACTTAAGAAATGAGAGTTATACATTTTTAATTAGATTGTAGGGGGAAAAGTAGGCTGTTTTCCTGATAGGCCGAACTAGTTATTCAATAAACCATATTGATATGATTTGTGTCTGATCTTTTCTTTCCTTTGTGGTGATGCTTCTGATTTAGGCTAAAACATATGTTGTATGAATTGGCTGATGGCACAGGCCTGGGTTTGGGGGGAGACAGAGGCAAACTCAGTGACTGTCAGCAGAGCCCTCACTCCACTGCAATCTTCTAAAACTGTGGCTGACACCACTACTGTGACTAAGTAGAAGACTCTCTCCTTTTAGTTTGGCAATAAACACTTGGCAATCTCAGTCTCTGGGGTTGATAGATGATGCTCACTGTTTGAGTTGCCAAATTAAGGCAGATCCTGAAAGCTTTGGGGAAGAATTCATTACCCTTTGACAGTTTTTCAGATTTGATGGGTGCTCTATGTTTTTCTCCGAGCTCCTCCTTGATCTAGTGCTCTGGCCAGTTTGAATGTTATGGTTGGTCCTATCAGCTTCCTGTAAGCAGTGCCTGGGTCTTAGTGTGTTCACAGAATGCTGTTTCTGTGGTCCTTGGAGCAGGATCCCCTGTACTTCTTGAGATCCACCAGTCCCACTTGCCCTTGCAAAACAGTTGCCAGGATGATGAATCTCCCTGCACTGCATGAGGGACCAGTGAGGTCATATCTGGATTGTATTCAATGACATTAAAATGTTAGCTTTAGGCCAAAGCCAGAAAGCTAGCCACAAATATCTGAATGTTAATTCAAGAGACTACCTGAAAGATTCTCATGGACTCCCAATGGCCCACAAACCACATTGAAAACCATATGTAATGAATTCATTTAAAAATAAAGATTTTTTAAAGGCCCTGGAGAATAGGCATTAACATAATCAATGCCCAAGATTGCTACAGGAACTGAATGTGAGCAGAATGTGCTCTTGAGAATTTTCATCGGAGCTACAGCAGAGTGTAGAAAGGGGAATGGCTTCCAAGTGGGGACCTGAGAAATTCCTTCCCTTGGTAGTAACCCTGCTGCTTCCAGCTCTTTCTGGAGTGTAAATTTTTCTGAAGATAAGACAACTGCAGTGTTCTGGGCAAGATGGTAAAATATGTTGCAAGAACAGAGAAATGAGTTCAGACAAATTATAAGAAAGAATCTGAGCAAAAACTAAGATTAGCCATTTAGACGTTTGATGTTGTTGATAAGCTGATGTTAGGTAACTTTACACACAGGTTATCTGGGGTGTTTGAAATAGCTCAGTCTCTGGGGTTGTTAGATGGTGCACCCAATTATAAAAGCTTGTTGCAAGAAATTATGAAAAATAGAAAGAGAATAACTACCACCATTACCCAGGTTGGTGACAATTATTATTGACGGATATATCCTTCCAGTCTGTGTATGCGTGTTTTAAACAGAAATGGGATTTGTACTCAACACACTATTTTGTAGCCAGCTTCTGTTTTAAAACAACTGAATTCTATAAATCACATGCCATCAAATTCACCCATGTTAAGTGTACAATTCAATGATTTTTTAGTAAGTTCACAGAATTGTGCAACCATCGCCACAACCCAGTTTTAGAACATTTCATCTCATAGCCAGCTTCTTTCACTTAGTATTTTGTGAACGTTTCCTATGTCAACACAGACCTTACTGGCTTCATGACATTCCATTGTGTGGACGTGTCATATCAGCTCCAATACTGATAATTACTTAGGTTCTTTTTATTTTTTGTCATCCCAATCTTGTACATACATATTTTGAACTTGTCCAAATATTTTTATAAAATAAATGCTTCCAAGTGGATTTTCTGGGTCAAAGAGGCGATACATTTAAAATTTTGATTTATATTGTCAAATTTGCCCTCCAGAAAGGTGGTGCAAATTTATCCTCCCACCCGCAGATGACAGTGCTTATTTCATCAGACCCCGATAACACTGGAGTCGTCGGTCTTTTCATTCTTTGCCAATCTGATGAGAGAAAAATGATGCCTTTGTTTTTTATCTTTAATGTACAAGAAATCGCTCAGGATCGGTATCTTTCATACGTTTATTGACTTTTTGTGTTTCTTTGGGGAATTGGCTATTTTTCTTTTAAAGTGTTAGTGTTTTGTCTTTAACCCCTTTCACTCCAACCCTTCAAGGTTATTAATACTTATTTTCAGAGAAGTTGGAATATTTTCTAAAATTATTTTCTTTTAGCTTTGTTTTTACTTAAAAATTTAAATTATTTTACCCATAGATTTGTAAAAATATGTATCTGAAAATAAAATGTAAATCTCTTCCCATACTTGAAAATAAAAATAACAACTTTCAGGTCTCCATTCAACAAGTACTTACTATTATTAATTTTTTTTTTTTTTTTTTGACAGAGTCTCACTCTGTTGCCCAGGCTAGAGTGCTGTGGCATCAGCCTAGCTCACAGCAACCTCAAACTCCTGGGGTTCAAGTGATCCTCCTGCCTCAGCCTCCCAAGTAGCTAGGACTACAGACATGTGCCACCATGCCCAGCTAATTTTTTCTATATGTTTTTAGTTGGCCAATTAATTTCTTTCTATTTTTAGTACAGAGAGGGTCTCGCTCTTGCTCAGGCTGGTTTCAAACTTCTGACCTTGAGTGGTCCACCCACCTTGGCCTCCCAGAGTGCTAGGATTACAGGCGTGAGCCACTGTGCCTGGCCAACAAGTACTTATTATTGATATTAATGAATATTATTACTCTGTGCCATGCACTTGGCCAAGCAGTGGGGATAGAGTGGTAAATGAAGCAAAGCAATCCTGCCCTCGTGCAGCCTGCATTCTGCTTCTTCATTCCTTGACTTTCCAGTTTTCTTAACCACTACTGTACGGCACTCACCGGCCCCGAAACCTTGCCCACAGCCAGCACTCATAGTCCGCACAATAGTTTGTGCTGTGCATTGACGATGAATCCGTTTTGCTCTTGTGTGATGAGGAAAGCTTTAAAGCACTGAAAGCTTGTTTTACTTTGCAGGCAGCTTTACTTGTAATGTAAATCAGAATAGGTAACATATATGTTTTCATTACGTTATTTTTAAATGTTCACAATTTTATTTTGATAAATGAAAAATTAGAAAAGTCATATCACAGCTGTCCGGCTAAAGTCGCTGTGCGTGTTCATCTGTGGCTATCGACTATAGTCAACACTCGTACTGAAGTGGTTAAGACTCTTACTCGGCTCAGAGCTTTACTTTCTAAACAACTCTGGGAATCCAAAATAACTTGCACATGGGTATTTTCAGCAAGCCTACAATATACAGATTGTAAAATGTATGAATTCATTAATAAAAGTAGAGAACATTCTCAGCAAATATTTGTTGGGCATCTATATATCAAGTACTACTGATGGTGTTGGAGATTGGATGGCAAACAAGGTAGTCTCTGCTATCAGGGAACACAGTTAATTTTAAATTAAGCAATTCTACCATCAAGGTCTGGGTAATCCAGCTTTGTGAAGTAATAAGTTGTCATGCTAACTTAATGTTTTTTCTCTTACCAGTCTTAAAAGTAAGATGTTTGGCTTCCTATTTGCCCAAACTAAGCAGTTAAAATGGGTTTCAGCTTGTCTACAATCTCTTGTCACATAGATTGAAGGAAAATGGTTTGCAAAAGATAAATTGAAGAGAGTATTATGAGATCTTTAGGTCATCTTTCTATAAAGACAAACACCCATTTCACCTTGTCTCATAACCTTACATAAGTTTATGTATACTATATGCATATAGTACATATGCACACTATATGTATAGTCAGGCGTATTCTTTTTATTTTTTAAAATGTTTGGTGGCAAAAACAGTATTGAAATAAAACTCCAAGGTGAAAATTCGTGTCCCTCAAAAAGAAAAAAAGGCATTTTGACCTACAGGCCATTTTATGTGGTGAAGGCAAGACTCAAGTCAGTGGAGCTGGATGCATCTTGAAACCTGACCTGGCCAAAAGCAGAGAGAAGCCGCCGTCCTCGACCCTGGCCCCCTGCCCTGTCCACCCCAACCCACTTCCTCAGCGACTTCAGTGGGAGGAACCCCTGCCACACGCTCCCACCTAAAGAGATATGGAAGAAACAAAAGGGAGAGTCTGGCTTTGAAAACCATTGGGATACCCAGCGTTTCGTGTGTCACTAGCCACTGAGTGTACTATCACAGGTGTCGGGCAGCAAGCCAAAGAGGGAGGCCAAATTCTAGGAGCTGTGGAGGGTGGGAAGGAGTAGGGGTGACGGGAATAGAGGGGGCAGAGACAGAGAACCAAGGACACTGGGAAGGCTGTGGCAAACGAACAGTGTGACTACTCCTTTCCCTAAATGCAATGTCTTCATGATATACTACAACTAATAAACTATTCTAGGATTGGCATTTGGATTGGTTCATTATCTTCAGTAAATGATTTCATTGAACCCAATTGTTTTCTTCCAATTTAATTCAGGCATGGAAGACCATATTTTGCTTAATCTGTTTTACTTGGCTACAGCGTCTATTTCAGACAGCAGTGCCCCCAGCATTATTACAGTTCGTACCGCAGGTTATCGCTTTTGTAGATGAGTGGCTACAACTAGCTAGGCTATTGTACATGCTGAATTCCTTGCCACCATGGGGTGCCGGGCATTTGGCTAGCAGCTGTGGCTGCTGCTTGCTGCTGAGGTATGAACAAATCACCCCACTGACGAGCTGAGCTCAGGGTGGTCTAATTAAAACAGACGCCGCTTGGACACAACTTCACAGGACCTTGGAATGCAGGGGAATTTAGGGGTCATCTAGTCCAACCACCCACACATTTCCAGTGAGGCCTGCAGGAACTAAATCACTTCTGCCCCAGCTTGAAAACGCAGACACGCCACATGTGTTTCACACGCAAGCCCCAAGGTTCTGTTCCTCGTACGCCCAAACTTTATTTGGTTGCCTGGGTGGGGCAGGAGAGCAGGAAAAGGAGGGTGCCGAAGGGCCAGTTCAGTAGGGGTGATTCCGGGTGTGTTCCATGATGGTCAGAAGTGCCAGCCATGTCTCTTGGGCGGTGGGGATGATCTGGGAGGCCGGCAGCAGGAAGCCGTAGCGCCCGGTGTCCCGGAGCTCAAAGGTGAAAGAGTACTTGATGCCCTGGCTGTAGGTCCAGTCAATGGTGCTTCCACTGGCTTGATCTGGGGCAGAAGCAAAGCCAGAGAAGAGCAAGGGTCACTTTGGAAACACTGACATGGGCCAGGTTAACCGTCCAACCCTGTGCAAAGCCCAGGGCCTTGTGCAATGCTGAGTGGAGTCAGTGTCTACTAAGGGCTGGTGTTGACCAAGCAGCCTGGCTTCCAGGAAACTCCTGCTGGAAGCCCAAGGAGGAGATCAGCAACGGTTCTCCTATTCACTGGGGGATGCAATTGCAAAGTCTCTGCAAAAAAAAAAGTCTCTGCAATTGCAAAAGCCCCTCTGAAAACTGTCTCCATCCAACAGCCACTTCAGTGAAGCCTCTAAATATACCAGAGTTCCCCGCTTGGGTAACCAGGACTTGTTCCCTCGGGACTGGTCTGCAGAGGAAAGTGCAAAGAGCAAGAGGCAAAGCAAAAGCCCCTCGTCTTCCTTAGGAAGAAACTCCACAGTTAATGGGGTAACAAAGCTGCTTCCGAACTGAGCGGCGGAAAGGGAGGTGGGCTGTGCATCAGAATTAAACTTGACAACATTGAATGAAGCAAAACCTTAACTCAGGATTGAAACAGTTTCTAAAAAAGGCCTGGGGTCCAAAAGCGAAGTCATTATCGGGCACATCTACGTCCCACTCGCTCACCAAAAGCGGGGCACTCAGGCAGGAAGTGCGTGCGATGTGTGTGCAGCCCTCCCCCTCAGAGCTCTATACCCGCTTTTACCATCAAGTACTCTGATGCAGCCACGCTGGAGTCCGTGCTATTCCTGCAACACTTCAGGCCACATCACACAGTAGGGCCTTTGCTCTAGAAAGTTCCTTTGCCTGGAAGACTCCTCCCTCATTTCCATCAACGCTTGCCCACATGTCACTCTCTTAGTGAGGCCCACCTGCCCCACCTCCACCCCCAGCGTTCCTGATCCCCTCACCCTGGGCTAGGTTTGAGTCTTCTCCTAACCTGTAGCATGACCTTGTTTATGTTTCTTGTCAGTCTCCCTGGCTAGCTCATAGGTTTCCTGACCTTTGCTGGTTTTATTCACAGCTGTATCCCAAGCACACAGAACAGGCCCTGGCATATAGTAGGTGCTCAATACACATGTGTTGGCTTAATTCCATTTTGATGTAGTAATACTCCTCCCAGGGGCAGTGCATGTATAAGTAAGTGGGGCAAAAATCAGGTATAGTCTGTACTTGAAGAGCATTATAGAAGTGTTTTTAAGTTGAATTTCCCAGTGATCTACAAATCCCAGCAGGACTCTACCCCATCCATGTGGCAAGCTGGACTTAACCCCAAGATGAGGGGACTAGAGTTTTCAGAGGAATTCACATGTTTGTCTGAAAGTATCAAAGGAGCCAGAGTTCATGTCAGGAAAAAGGGCCGTCCACCCCTCCAAACAGCCCTGGCCAGCAGTCATCACGTATAGCTGGAGTTGGGGCAGTGTTCTTGCCCAGGAGGAGGTCTGGGCACCTTGGCTATTTTCTTCCACAAGAGATACTCCCGAGGGCAGGAAAAGCCAGCTGACATATTTTGTTTGTTTGTTTGTTGAGACAGGGTCTCACTCTGTCACCCAGGCTAGAGTGCCGTGGTGTCAGCCTAGCTCACAGCAACCTCAAACTCCTGGGCTCAAGTGATCCTCTTGCCTCAGCCTCCTGAGTAGCTGGGACTATAGACATGTGCCACCAGCATAGCTAATTTTGACTACTTTTAGTAGAGACCGGGTTTCACTCTTGCTCAGGCTGGTCTCAAACTCCTGAGCTCAAACAATCCTCCTTCCTGAATCTCCCAGAGTGCTAGGATTATAGGCATGAGCCACCACACCCGGCCACCAGCTGACGTTTGTCCTGCCGCCACCCAGAGAGACTTTGTGGCCACTTACAAATTGCTTTGATGATGCTGCCATACGTGAACCTGGTCCCATACAGAGAGGCTAGGGCTGTCACAGCAGCTTTGGACAGCTGATCCTGAAAGAAACACCAAACAAGACCACCCATCATGGCCAGGCCTCTGGACCAGCATGGCCAGAGTAGCCTGGGGGCTGGCAGGGTGGCCCAGGAGCATGCACCCTGCAGAAGGACAGAGCTCAGCCTGCTCAGCCCTGAAGGGTCAGCCTCAGAGCTCAGCAGTGCCATGATCTTCTGACCCTGCGGGGTGCCTTGCTGGCACTTCCCGCCCTTTGGTCACACTGCAGCTCCAAGTGTGGTGCTGCCAGATCAAAGTCCAGCCCTGCACCTGTTCTGCTGCATGACAAAAGTGACTCAACCACTCTGTGCCTCAGCTTCATGGAAAGAAAGTGAAGCTTGTCCACCTTGCTGGTCTTTCCAAGCCATCAGGGGTCCATGGAGGAAAGGGGGATCAGGCACTCTGTAAGAAGGTCACCCATCAGGGTGAAAGCCCAGGCCTGCCCACAAAAGCTGCCTTTGGGGTGTGAGGGCAAGCAGGGGGTCAGCGCCTACCAGCTCGGCGTCGTCAGGGGCTGGATCTGACTTGTAGCCATAGGGATAGAGGAGGAGCTGGGAGTAGCTGTGGATGGAGATGAACGCCTTGATGTTCCCGTGGTCTTTCACGAAGTCCACAACGGACTTGACCTCCACTTCGGAATTGGCATACTTGCCATGGTAAGTCTCAGAGCAAGGGTTGCTGCTGGCTCCAGGCACTGTGGGAGGACAGAGGGTAGGTAAGAAGTGTGGCTTCTACAGCTTCCATGGCTTCCAGTTCTTTGCATGGAGCTGAGGAAGAGGTGGGGTGCAGGAGGGCTTCCCTTCACTCCTGGATTAAGGAAAGGCCAGAGGCCTTTGATAACCTGGGGTCCTGCCTTCCCACCAGGTTTGGGCAGAGCTGGCAGACACGCCCAGGGAGGTAAGATGGGCCCCTCGAAGGAAACCAGTTCTCACAGAGATGGGGCTGAGGAGAAAGGAGTTGAGGGTAAGCTAGAGAACCCCTGGACAGCCTTTCAGCCCTTAGCTCCGTTTGGAAGGAGCATTCTTTTTACAGACAAGGGACAACCAGCTTTCAGAGCACCACCACCATTGTGCTCAGAGGGGGAGGTGACACCCCACCCTCCCCCACTGCTGGGGCAGGACAGAGGCTGGGCAACAAGACAAGGGCCCCCCCAGATCACACAAGGCCTTACGCCCAAATCCCGCATCCCAGTTCCTATTGGGGTCCACGCCAACACAGAGGGAGCCCGACGTGATGGATCGAGTCTTGCGCCACATGCGGTTCTGAGGAAGGAAAAGGGATGAGCCACCCCCTGGCACACGGTGAGCGTGGGGCCCAAGTCCGCCATGGGCTCAGGGACTGCAGAGAGCAGAGTGGGCTGGGCGAGGTGGGGCCTTCCAGCAGGGGCTACTCTCAACACAAAGTCCCCTGATCGGGGGCTTGGCCTCCGCACAGCATGGGGCAGGAACCACTCTCCTCAGCTGGTTGTTGGCGGAAGGTGGGTTGGGGGGTAGAATCCACAACAGTGGGGGACCGTGGATGGTATTTGGCCAGGGAGGGCTGTACATGATGAAGAAGCCATGAGGTGTCCACCAACACCACCCGGCCCCATTTCACTTGCTGTAAAAATAGAAGTAGGACCAGGAAGTGAGGTCTAAGGCAGTGGGTCTCAACCGGGGACAATCTTGCCATTTTGCAATGCCCGAAGAGATTTTTGGTTGTCACCACTGGCGGTGGGTCGAGTGCCACTGGCATCTAATGGGTGGGAGATCAGGATGCTCCTAAACACCCTCCAGGCACAGGACAGCCCACAGCAAGGAATGACTCGCCCCAAACGTCCCTCGTGTGGAGGTTGAGAAACCCTGGCCTGGGAAGACAGGTCTCTCTGCCCTTCCCGCAACCTCTGGGGGTTGAGATTAGTGGTGAGTAGGCTGTGGGGCTCAGGGTCCGAGAACAGCAGCAGGCTGTACCTTGCTGTGGGTGTAGGCAAAACCATCGGGGTTGGTGACGATCTCCAGAAAGATGTCCATGTTGTCAAGGATGGTGGTGAAGGCCGAGTCCTTTCCGTAGTCTTGCGTGATCTGGGGTTAGAGGGCAGAGGGGAGCGTGGGGCAGACCAGGCGTCTGCCACACTAGAGAGACAGACACCTTCCCTTGGCCTCACTCTGTGGCCACTGCTTCTGGAGGGATAAGAGCAGTGCTGGGCTCCTGTGGGCCGTGGACACCAGCGCCCCAGGGGCGAGAGCCCTCCGCCCCTCCCGGGCCTCACCTTCTTTGCAAACCAGACCCCGCTGGCCTGGGTGACCCACTCCCGGGAATGGATGCCCGTGTCGATCCAGATGGCAGGACGGTTGTTCCCGCCGGTGCTGAACTGCAGAAGAGGCAGGGAGGAGGTCATGGATGACATCACAGCAGGGGCCTCATGTCACCATCCCGAGGGGGAGCTCAGCCCGGGCTGGAGACCACCTGCCATCCACGCTTCTCAGGCAGAGGCTCTGTGCGGGCGGGCGGGCGTGGGACCCTGCAGAGCTTGGCCTTCTGCCCTCTGCTCAAGCTCCTCTCGGTGAACGTGACTCAACCAGACCCCAGGCCCTGCCCTGTTTTGCTGCTCAGACAGCGCTCTGTGTTTTGTCACAAACAAAACGCCTTATCTGGATTATCCAGACGCCATGGTACTTTCATAATGTGATACTTGATTGGAAACACTTGGGTCCCCTAAAAGTTTAAATTGTGTGTGTACATGGGTGCAGGCACCTAGGCCAGCATGGAAATTCAGACCTTCCCAAATGTCTGCATGGTGAGTCCGTACAACAGTGTGTTCCCTGAGACTGTGGGCTTCCTGCAGGAGCCCACGCCCATCCATCTGTGGGTGCCCTGCATGGGTTCATTCTTGCGTGTGCACCCATGGACATGCACACGTGGACGCCCGTTACCTTCAGCACATAAATGGGACGGCCTTCATAGCTGTTGCCGATCTGGATCTTGCTGACAAGTGTCGGGTGCTCGGCCACCAGTAAGTCCATGAAGTCATAGATCTGAAACGGGAAAGAAAGGAAGAACGGCCTGAGTGGCTTCCGGGCACCCAGATGCCTCCCTTAACATCTCCGTCATCCCAGCCTGCTGACAGCCCTGCAGTGCGACCAAGCCACCACCCAGACCACAAAGGCCACGTGGAAACAGAGCAGGTGCCACACACGCCCAGGCTGGCCAGCCACAACGAAGCGCTTCCTGCTCATGGGGAGTGGCCACCAGGGGCGCCCTCACCTCCTCCAGGGTGTGGTAGGTGGCGTAGTTAAAGGTGTCGGTGGAGCGGGCCAGGGACCGGAAGGCGAACATCTGCTCCTGCTCCTCGTCCAGCAGTGACTGCACGTCCTCAATCATGGTCTCGTAGCTGATGCCATGGGCCTCCAGGAAGACTTTGGTGGCCTGGCTGCTGTGGAAGGGCACTCGGACATCGATGGGGGAGCCAGGCTGGGCAGGGCCCCGCCAGAAGTCCAGCTGTGAAGGACAAGAGCAGGCACTGTCACAGCAGGCTGGAGGCACCAGCCAGGACAGGGCCGGCCTGGGAGCGGTTGTTGGTGCCAGAAGCTCCCATATTGTTGGGGTGCAACATGGGTATTAGGGGCAGGGAAAGAAGGGGAGACTTGGGGACTGGACAAAGCCCAGTGTGGTCAGGAAGTGGTCACAAAGCACAGCGGAGGGGCTTGGAGACAATGAGGCAGAGAGAACTGAAAAGGGGGTCCTGGCACTTTGCAGCTGGCCCTGGAGGTGCCCTGGGGCCTCAGGGAACCCCTCTCTGACCTGCAAGTGCTCCAGCTCCTCCAGCACCTTCACCTTCTGTACCTGGGCTTCATCGGCAGCAGAGATGCGGAGCACCTGGTGCCTGGGTGGAGTGGGAGTGGACTGAGCACCTGAGGCAGCACCTGCCCTGGCCACGGACACCCCCAGGCGAGGCAGGGAAGTGGCATCCTGGAACCCCCAGGTGGGCCTGGGTGCTCTGGGCTGAGCAGGGCAGCATGAAGGGTCTTAGCAACGGGAGGCCCGGGCTCGCTCACACATTCTCTCCCCATCTTTGGAAAATTCTAGACACTCTTACTGTGCCCGTTCCAGTCGACACTATTTCTCTCTCCCAAGCCAGCCAGGCCTCCTCCTTCCTCCTCTCCTGAAAATTCCTCATCAGAGCTCAGATTCTTCCAGGGCTCAGGAGATTGTCCTGAGACACCTGACCCCATCCCAGCCCCGGTCCCCCATCAGCCTGCCGTCCCAGGGTGGTGGCAGTACATCCTCTCTGGCTGTGTCCCCTGGGGTCTGTCTGTCTCCTCCAGACACTCGCAGGGAGCTGAGCCCTCCCACCTTCCCTGGCCGCCCCCCCTCCTCCCCACACTCTTACCCTGCAAAATTCTCCTTGCCAAAGACAGCCCCCAGAAGAATGCTCAAAACCAGCAGCCCCCGCATGCTGTGGCCCCGCATGCTGTGGCTGTTTGGAAAGGTCAGACTGAGGTTAAGATGGCCCCAGGCTTTTAAACCCTCTCAGGATAGAGGTCACCTGTCTGTGCCTGAGGGCTGTTCTCCCCTTGCACCTGGGCCCTGTCCCACAGGGAGCCGTGGCGTGGGAGTCCAAGCCCTGACACCCTCTCACCCTGCCAGATAAGGCGGCTGGGAATGGGCAGCTGGAGAGATAAGCCGGCCTCAGCCTTGAGGGGCCAACCTGGGCCTGAGGTCAGCTGGGGCCCAAGGACACCAGCCCGCAGCCCGCAGCCACCACCCGCAGCCCCTGGCACCCGCAGCTGGGGTCCCGTGGCAGGCGCCAGCTCTTCCGTTCCTGTGATAGAGCAAGCCAGGCCCTGCGGCTGCCCCGCAGCGGTGTCGGCCCAGCCTTCACCACGCCAGCCACGTCACACTGCCCACGTCCACACTGCCTCTGCCCTGTGCCCGGCACACCCCTAGGGGACTTCCCAGCCCCTTCCTCCAGCCCCCCCACCACGGGGCCCCGGGATCCAGTTACCCAGTTACCCCTGACGGGAACTGTGACTAGATGTCAGCTGGATAGGAAGTGTGGTGGTGGGGACCAGGGACAGACCCATGTGGGGACTGCACAGTGTCCAGGAGAAGCTGGAACTCGCAAAGGGGAACTCGCCCAGCTCCGATGCTGATCTCATCGCAGAGACATGCAACGCAAATCTGCCCTGGTCCACGGGGCCCCAGGGCTCCCCAGCACTGTTAGGGGCTCTGCTCTGTGTCAGGGCACTGACGACAGCCAAGGCAGCCCTTTCTGGTTTCCATCTGTTCCCCACACCAGCCCTACCTGGCCACCCCTCTATGCCAAGGCAGAGTGAGCCCACTGTGTTCACGGACAGCTCTCCCAGCCTGACTCCAGGAAGACGGTAAAACCCTGAATCTGGCAGGTGTAGAGCCTGCACCGAGGCCCCTCCACTCCCCTCTGGCAGCCTCACCCCTGCTAACGTCCTCCCCAGAGCTGCCTCTGGCCCTCACCTGTCTTCTCCTTCTCTGCGTGCTCAGCCCTTGGTTCATTCATTCAACCCATGTTTCCTCTCGGGCCGGGACCCGTGCTCCACACTGACATGACACCCAAGACAGATTGGTCCCCGACCTCAGGGAGCTCACAGCCTAGCAGGGAAGACAGAAGTAACCAACTAACTTGTCGATTCTCCAACAGGTCCTCCAAGCCGCTCTCAGCACACAGGGTGGGGCGTGCAGGGGACTTCTTGGGCTGTTCCTCTCCCCGCAGGAGAGCCGAACAGCACCTGTTCCGTGGGCATGAGAAGTGCCAACAGGGCTAAGGACACACACTATGGCACATACAAGAGGGTCCAGGGGAGACTTTACCAAGAAGTTGACATTTGACCTGGATCCTAATGACAGGATTTTGCCAGGCAGGGAAGGAAAAGGACATCCATCATGCTATTTAGTGCTTGAACAGCAAACTCGCACTGGTTTCCCCTTTATCATTCCTGGAGTGTTATTTTTGTCTCCCCAAGGAGACCCTAAATTTCCTCAGGCCAGGCACCATGTCTTCCGCATTCCTCAGGCGTCCCTGGCCTCCTAATGCCCTGCAGGGTCCTCATGTTTCTCTAATCTCCCCACCCCGAGACAAAGGTTCTGGAGAGCCTTTCTTTAGTTTGCACTATAAAAACAAGACTGCTTTTTCTGCTTCTAAACACAAAGCTATCCCGTAATTTCGAGTCTTTTCGCTCACGCTACACATGCTGGGGGATGTCGGCTAGTTCTTGGGCCTCTGAGGATCCCTTCCAGAAGAGACAAACCCCCCGAAAAAGGGAGAGGCCTGGGGGAAGGGCACAGACTCACTAAGAGAGCCTCCATCTGCCTCCAGCCAGCAACCTAAGAGGCCCAAGAGTCATGCAGTAAATTTCTTTCGAGTTTGGAAAGAATAAACTCATTGCTGCAAGATGAAATTATGGCCCTTGCCGGCATGAGGCGGATAGCACTGTGGCAGAGGAATTTGGGTCTCAGGTGCAGAGTAAGACTCGTCCCCTCCGCCCCTGCAGAGCACCTTGGGAAGATGAAAGGTACCTCCTGGTAAAGACAATTTGCTAGAGTGTGACCTGGGGCAGAGGGCCACAGCTCTTCCTTTCCACCCATGGGACTGTCTCACACTGGTCCAAAGTGAGGGCAGAGAGGGCGGCCACCAGGCTCAGTGCCACGTAAATACACAGGGCACTGAAACCACCAGGCTGGGATCTAGATTCAAGAGTGAGTCACCCAGCAAGTGCCCGAATGCAAACAACAGTGGGAGACCTTGGACAGCCACACTGACTGTTGTCCTCAGCGACCCTCCCCATTTCTTCCTGGCTGGACAAACCCAGGTTGTGTGCCTGCATCCAGCCCAGGGGTGAGTTCTGATTGATCTGAGATAGTGGGGGAAATCCCATTTACTTTTGCAAGTGGCATTGGCATGTGACCTTGTTTTGCCAATGTGATGTGAGGGGAGGCCAGTGAGGAAGATTCTAAAGGTTTCTCCATTCTTAAGAAGGAAGCATCTTTTTCTGGATATATTCATGTCTGTCACCCCACCTTTGGACAACATAATATGACAGAATGTACATTTATTTCTTTTTTCTTGGTTGGGGTTTCTGTTGTTGCTGGGAAAAGCTTTCTAACTGATGCACCTACTAAACTTTTAAGGTGCTTGTGTTGTTAGAAGAGGAGGCCAATTCTAGCCTCTCAGTGCCTTTATGTGAAATGGAGAAAGGCATCCCTCCACATCTGCAGACATTATTGCCTCTCTCTTTCAACAGGATGACTTTGAGCAGTGTGCAAACTGGACAACTATCCATGACAGCCCTATTGCCAGAAAACTCCCACACGTGGTAAACAGAGGCTCTAAGGCAATGCTCAGAAACCCTCAACCCAAAACCTAGAAAATGAGTTATTAAAGAGACAGAGAATCAGTTCCCAGTGTTCATATTAGGGATCAAAGCCAGATGCACAAGTGTGTTGAAGCTTGTATATAATACAATTGTATGTATGGGAAGAGGAATCTATGAGAATTTGAAACAGCCACATGATAGACTGCAGTGCACATCTCTCATTTTGCCTACCCAGGGCCAGGCACAGTGGCTCATGCCCGTAATCTTAGCACTTGGGGAGGCTGAGGTAGGAGGATTGCTTGAGGCCAGGAGTTCAAGACCTACCCAGTATCCTCTTCCTTCTGATAACAGTGTCTCCATTTTCCCTTAGGGAGCAGGGCACCCTTCCCCACTCTGAGGCCACATGATTCAGGTGCCCCCAGCCACCCCACGCCCACCCCAACTCTCAGCATGGGCCAACAAATTCCATTTTTTTCCCTCAACCTTTTCCAGGTTGGTCGTCTGTCACATGTGACCGGGTAAAGTGCACAGGCGATACAAGGACATTCTCTAACCGCAGAAGAGAGCAACGTGGGTCAGGGAAGCCTTTCCACATGGGTTGCCACAAATGGGTCATATGACTTCGAACAGGTCATGAAACACCCCTGGGCCTCAGTTTCCTCGTCTAGCAAACAAGGAAGTTGCCTTGGAATATTCTTGTCGCCTTGGAACATTCCTCAGAGCCCACCCCAGCCTGGGTCCCAACACGCTGGCGACCGTGTCTGGGAGCGGCAGTGGCCACGCCCGGCTGGCGAACATTAACAAAGTGACAGCAACAAATAATGCTCTCCTTGGGGGGAAATCCAGGCAGCCTGTTTGGCCTTTGAGGTTTCTCCTACTCGTATTTCGGACAATCCTTGGAAAAGATAACACTCCCACAGTCCAATCCATCTGGCTCCCCCTCCCAGCCCCCGGCCCGGGGCCAGCAGGGGCCTCTCGCCGTCTCCCTGCTGTGGTGTCCGTCTGGCCGCCCCGTCTGTGAGGCAGCCACAGGCCCCACGTCCATGGGATTCTCTCGCAGCCCGCACCACTGTCTGGGCCTTCCTGTTTTTCTAAAGACAGCGTTTTTAAATCAAACTTAACTTTTTCAGTGAAGTCATTTTCTCTCTGGCTCTGCGTCTCTCAGAGTGGTCAGAGGGGAGCGGGAGGAGGATGGGACGCGAACGGCCCCTCGCCGGACGCCCTGGATCCCGGCCATGAGCCCGTCACCCGCGGCCTCTCCCCGGGCCTCACACAGGCCTCTCACATTCCAAGCTGCCTGCCTGGTTTGTTTTTTTAAGAAAGCAATAACCACAGCACATTCACTGTGGTTCTTTATAGCTTTCCATATGTATAATCACTCTTTCTCCCTTCAGTTTTTCCAATGTTTTTTTCGTTTAAATAAATGCTCATAAATTTTACTCGTGAAAAGGATGAAAAAACACACTTAAAAAGAGCAGTTTGTTGGGAAAAAGGAAAAAAAAAACAAAAAACCACCAAGCAGAATGTAGAAAAACCAAGCTCCTGTTTAGTATTATATACTTAAGAAAATGGCGGGGCGGGGAAGTTAAGGTTTTATGAAGAGAAGATTCTTCTGCAGTAACTCTAAAACTTGCATGTTTGTGTCTTGAGCGAGCATTTGTGCGATAAGCTTAAGCCCCCAGCCAGCATCTCCCCGGCAGGGTGGCCCCTCGCTCCTGGGGGAAGCAGCAGTGAGCTGGGACCACAGCGCGGCCCTGGCTTTAGTCTTCTCCCAGCTGTTAGGTTCACATGGGACCTTGTGCAAGTCTCCTGATTCGGAGGCTCCTGTCTTTATAACTGCATAGAACATCTGGAAAGTTCTATGGCTTTATGATTAAGTCAGTCACTTGAACTAGAGCAAGAAACGGGCACTGGGGTCCCTTCAGATCCTCTCTGTCCCTCAGAGAAGCTGCAGCAGATTCTGCTGGCTGCCTTCCCGATATCCATTCTTCCCTTCCTCCTTATCAACAGAACTCCGATTTCATTTGGGGCAGCAATGTGCCCGGCTATAGAGCAATTTCCCAGCCTCCCTTGCAGCTGGGCGCGGCCACATGGCACAGTCCCAGCCAATAAGGTGTAAGTGGAAATCCCTGGACTGGCTGACCTAGCTGACTCGCTTTTTTGCCCCTCACTCTTCCTGCCTGGACTTCAGTCCTATGATGGAGGTAGAGCAGCCATCTTGTGACTTGGGGTGAAATGTAGCAGAATGGCAAAACAGCACAGCTCAGAAGGGTCTGGGTCCCTAATGCATCAAGGGGGTCACTTGAACCAGCCCTGGACTGCCCACTGCTGAAGACTTCTTGTTGCCTGATAAAAATAAAGCCCCTATTTCGTTAAGCCACAGTCAGGTTGGTGTCTGTCACATACAGCTAAACTTAGTCCTAATCTGTACGAGGCTGAAGAGCAGAAATGGTCCTTCAACAAACATCACATCTCTTCTGTGTGTCTGGCGCTGCCAGGAGCTGAGTGAGTGTGAGGAGCCCCGACACGGCCCTGCCCTCACAGGGCTCACCAGCTGGTGGGCAGCGGTGGACAACAGGAGACAAAGAAGTCAATCAATTACTGCTTATCTAATTGCTCTGAAGGAAATAAGTGAGGCCCTGGAAAAGAGAATCCTAGAAGGAAAGCTACTTCCCCTGGGTGGTCCTGGGACTAGTGAGGAAATGATATTGAAGGGGACGAGTGGGAGGAAAGAATGTTCCAGACAGGAAGGAGCAGCACATGCAAAGCTGCCAGCTGGGAAGGAGCTTCGGTGATAAAGGAACAACTGAGAGGAAACCGGTGAGGTTGGAGCCGATGAGTGAGGACACAGAGGTGCTGGGACACAGTGGGGCAGGCAGGCGGGTCATGCTGTGGCCTGGGCGGGGCTTTTCTTTAAGTTGTGGAAGGGTCTGGAAAATAACGTTGTCTTTGGAGAAGACCTCCATCTGGAAAGCAGCTTCAGCCTCAACTTTTGTGGGCCTGTTGGCTGCACAGAGATCTTGCCAACCTGGCTGTGAAAACAAGGTGCTCATCCCTGGTCCTGAGGGGCTTGGGCGTGAGCCTGGCTCAGGTTCTGAAGGCAGATGATGAACCACCCGCCTAAAGGCCAGGCCCAGCTCTGCCACCTGTGCCCTTTAGTGACCATCCTCTCTGAGCCTGGGCTCCCTTGTCTGAAAGTAAGGACACTAAGAGTCCTACCTCTGCAAGCAGTGAGGAGGCCTGGTGTTGAATCCCCTAATGTACTTGGCGTGGCAAGTAGTAAGTGCTAGAACAGAGTTAATGATTTTTGCTATTACTGGGAAGCTCATCAGAGTCAAAATACTCCTGCCTCTAGGCTAATGCTTTTCCAATTTAGCATCAGAATCACCTGGCCCCTCTCCCCCACCCCACCTCTCCAGCCCCCACCCTGAGACTCTAATTTGGTAGGCATGGGGTGGCTGAGAATATGCATTTCCAATAAGCTCCCAGGTGATGCTGGTGCCTGTGGCCTGCAGACCACACTGCTTTAGGCCAGGGCCAGGGCAGCCACCAGGATAGATCCTGGAGAACAATGCCTGACCTCCCACAGTTGTCGCCACCTCCAGCCCTAGTGGACAACAGCAGACAGTGGGAGACCCCAAAGCCCGACTCCTCCTGGAAGACCCAGATATATTCTTTCTGGGAGATGGGAGAACAGGAATTGGTGATAGTACTTTCAAGGTACCTCAGAACTCCTTGAGCTAATGGTAAGAGTGTCTCCCCCCTGAGATTCTATTTCAGTCTGAAGATGGAACCCGAACACCTTCATTATGTTAAATAAGTCCCCATGGGTTCTGCTGCAGGGGGGATCAACCAACCACACATGGACAAATGGTGACATACTGGCTTTGGAATTAGAAAAATCCACGTTCAAATCTCCTTCAACAACTTTCTGTCTGTGGGGCTCTGCATGGCCTTTAAAATCTCTCCAAATCTTGCTTTCCTTATCTAAAAAATGAGCTTATTAATACCAGGAATACTCTCCCTAGGAGAATGAAATAAAAATATTTGTGTAGATAGCATAAAAGTTATAATCACAGACTCCAGTGTGCGAAGGTATAACATGCTTTATTTATCTCTAGCTTATATTAACTTAGCCAGTGACCCCGTACGTATTTCAACACTAACAGCAGAAAACCTTGGGTTGGAAATTCTAACTCACTCAGGCCACTTCCAGCTTTACAAAACTCAAGTCTCCAGTGGGAAACTTCAACCAGAATCAGCATTCTCTCCTCCTCCATTGCTGGCTCTTCCCTTGGAGGTGATCTGGGTTTTTCAGAGGTTAATTACCCTGACTTCCTCAGGGCCTCCGCATGCCCAGCCAAGGCCAGCTGTGCCACCATGGCCACTGGTTGCACAGTCCCTGGGCTTGGCCTTCTGGTATCTACCCTGGGCCTCCTCACCTGCCAAGCTGCTTGTTTCTTTGCTCAGGGCTCTCAACAGCTGCACTGCCGCGGCGCGCCCAGCCCATAGAGCTGCCTCTAATCCTCTGTCTAGTCTCCTTCTTTAGCCATTTATTAGTTTGCTGCCTAGGTGCCATATTGGATCTGGGCCTTACCTGAGGGATATTTTTGTTTTATGTTTTTGTTTTTTGTCTTTGACACAGAGTCTCACTCTGTTGCCCTGGCTAGAGTGCAGTGGCGTCATCAGAGCTCACTGCAACCCCAAACTTCTAGGCCCAAGCAATCCTCCTGCCTCAGCCTCCCAAGTAAGTGGGACTACAGGTGCATGCCACCATGCCCACCAAATTTTTCTACTTTTTGTACAGGCGGGGGGGGGGTCTCACTCTTGCTCAGGCTGGTCTTGAACTCCTGGCCTCATGGGATCCTCCTGCCTCAGGCTCTTAGAGTGCTAGGATTACAGGCGCTAGCCACCATGCTGGCCTTACCTGAGGTTTTGATCACCTCTGATCCCCTCCTTCCACAAACTGGCTGCCCAAGCGCTGTTTCCTTTTGCAGATCGGATGGAAAGCAGGGCCTGTTCTCACTTCTCTCTGCTTTCTTCCTGCCCTCTGTGTCCTCCCTCCACGGGTCGGCACACAGGCATCCATACCCTTTTCTTGCACACACACACCCTGGCTCTTGCAAATGCAAGCCTTGCCCTCTAGACTACTGTTTCTGCCTCAGACTTGTACAAATTCATCCATCTTCAGTTGATCCCTTGTTTCCAGGGCAGAGCAAGCAGACCCAGTCCCCTGCTCCCCGGCGGGACGAGGGCGGGCAGAAGGTACAAGGAGGCCTGGGGATGGGGGAAGACTCCCATCATCACATCAAAATAGTGCCCCTTTAACTCTCTTAGAAAGTGCCTCCCCAGCATGTGCCCAGCCTGGAGTCACTGCTCAGTGACTGACCACCATGACGATGACTTTGGTGATGGAGAGGAGGAGAATTCTTTCTCTTGGATATGTGGCACTTTGTTGTGCTGGCTCTGACCCCGTGCTCCAAAGACCAAGGGAGACTTTTGAGGGCATCTCAGAGGCGCAGGCCACAAACCCGTGACTTGTCCTGTTCAGTTATGGGGGAGTGAGATCCTCTGGGTGGAGACCCCTGCTCCCTCACAGCGTGGGACATGGAGCGCGCAGGTGGTGGCTCCTGTCTGGGCCCACCTCTCCCTGTAGGTGCCGGAAATGCCACCATCACAGATCCTCTCCTTTAGATCAAACATTGTCCCCTCCAGGGTCATCTTAATATGCAAATACACTGGGACAACGTGCATGTTAGTAGCTGCTGGGATGAGTTCTCTGTTCTGGGCCCTGAGAGCACTGCAAGAGGAGAAAAGGCACAGCCTGCTATGCCTCATGTTCCAGAAGGTGGCCTGGGGGGTGGAAAGGCTTCCCACAGCATTGTAAGCTGCCCTGGGAGATGAGGGGCCACCTGCTGTCCCCTTCAGTGCTGAGTCCATAGGGGTGGTAGCCAACACTAAATGAACTCATGTTTATTTTCTAAGGGTTCTGGACAAGGGCATGGGGAGGTGGGTGTATAACTTGGGTTTCGGGAGAAACCCCAGGCCCTGGAGGGGACGACGAACCCCTCTGCTCTGCCCCCAGGAGTGTTGCTAGTAGGGGTGCCTCAGGGTGTGCTCCATGATGGTCAGAATCGCCATCCACGTCTCCTGGGCTGTGGGGATGATCTGCGTGGCTGGCAGCAGGAAGCCAAAGTGCCCCGTGTCCCGGAGCTCGAAGCTGAAGGCATACTTGATGCCGCTGTCGTAGGCCCAGTCGACGGTGATCCCGCTGGCCAAGTCTGGAAACAAAGGGGCCAAAACGCATCCCCAAAAGGAAGAAGAGGATGTGCCCACAAGGTACAGAGTCATCTTGAACAGAAAGTGGCCCTGGGAGCCAAAGCCCCACCCACCCAGACCACACCAAGCTTCCTGCCCGGCCCTCCACCGGGCCACACCCGCCCACTCGCCCATTCGCTAGCCCTGTGCAAAGAAAGCTCCTGCTGCCCACACAACGGGCTCGAACCCCTCAAGGAGCCTTGCAATAGGCCAGGCACTGGGAGCCGTGCATGGATGCTGCCAAGACATGGCTGCCTGGGCACCACGGTGTACCCTTCTCTCCAGATGTGGGAAGCAGTGTGGGCCCAGCTCAGCTAGATCTGTGGCCAGGCCTGCACCTGCCTGACCCCAGTGGCGGTGGTATCTGTGGCAGCTGCCAGGAGAGGCTCACTCACAGAGGGTGTTGCTGATGCTGCCAAAAATGTACTGGATCCCATGGACCTTGTGCAGGGCCTTCACCGCAGCCTTGGCAAGATCGTACTGCAAGATCACACGCACGGGGTGAGAGGCCGGGGCTCAGAGTGGCTCCCGCGCCTTCACCAGCCGGCGAGAAGCACGCACTGGGAGTCCTGGGAGTTGAGTGTGCAGATGGCCCTCATGAGCTAGGAGCACAGCTCCTCCAGCTTTGGACATGATCAAACGTGAGAACAACACGCTCCCCCTCCCCCTACCATGGGGTCAGCTGGACCAGGCCCTTGTTTTCCCAGCGAGAGCCTGGACTCTCTGGGAGTGTCTCAGACTCGGATTTCCCTGGGGAAGGGCTTCCTTCTTCCCAAGCCCTAAGGGGCCAGTCTCACCATCTCCTGCTCGTTTGAAACAGGCTCCAGGGTTTGGCCATAAGGATACATGAGCATCTGAGAGTAGCTGTGGATGGAGATCAGCGCCTTGAAGTTCCCATGGGCTGTGATGAAGTCCACAATGGCGGCCACCTCCGGCTCCGACTGAGGGGAGGGCCCGTGATAAGTCTCTGAGCAGGGATTGGCATTAGAACCATTTCCTGGGAGTAAAATAAAGCCACCCAGGTGTGGCAGAGACACTTAGCTCTCTCACACAATACCCTCCCGTTCCCCTGTGTTTCCCAGATTCCTTTGCAGTTTGGTTGAGGTCATGTGACTGCTTCTGACCAAAGAAAATGGGAGCAGCAATGCCGTGTCAGTGTCACTTCTGGTTTGAGGCTGTTAAGAGCAAGTGTGACTTCTCCACTGTGTGTGGCTGGAAGCAAAAAACATCTAGATAGAAGCAGCATCCTGGGTCCCTCTGTCACCACTGGAAGAAAGCTACCAAGGACAGTCACCTACCCACACAGGACTCTGTGTGCATGAAAATTGAACGTGTATTGTGTTAAGCCACTGAGATTCAGAGGGGTATTAGTTACTGCTGCAGACCCTAACCTGATACATCAGAGACCTATAGCCACACCACAACGCGGCAGCTCTGGAGCCCTGCAGGTAGCTGTCTTGGCTTGTCCTTTGGTTAAGTCCTCACTGTGGTTCTACTAGAAAGGCAGGCCTGCCTCATAAGCTGCATCCAGAAGAAGCTCTAGGTCTCCAGCCCAACCCCAGCTTCCCCTACTGAGCAGCAGTCCCTTACACTGGTCCTTCTTGGGTTTGTGGCCAACTGAGTGCTCAGACTTGGTGTCTGCTCACGCTTGGCCACGGCCATGGTCCCAGGGGTGCCATGGACTTGGGGCCTAAGGAAAGACAGAACAGTTCCCCAGAGTTGCCTGAGGCTGATATGGGAAGTACAGTTCCAAAGAGGTCTTTGAAAATTCTTCTTGGCACCTAAGTTGGGGGAGGGGACAAAAAGGAGCTAGGCTTTTTTTTTTTTTTTTCCACAAGTTTAATTTGTTCTCATCTCCTAGATTTTTTGCCCACCTCTACCTCTCTCTCTCTTTTTCTTTTTCTTTTCTTTTTTAAGAGACAGGGTCTTGCTCTGCTGCCCAGGCTGGAATGCAGTAGTCCAATCACAGCTCACTGCAAACTCAAATTCCTGGCTTCCAGTGATCATCCTGCCTCAGCATCCTGAGTAGCTGGGACTGCAGGCATGGGCCACCACACTACCACCCCCATCTCTTTTCTTCCTCTTCCACTTCTCTTTGGCTTTCCTCCCTCCCCTAGGGGTGATGCTGTGGTGTGCTGGGCTAGGATGGTTAAGACTTGTAGGTGAGGGACACGTTTGGAAGGAGCCATCCCAGTTCCTCCTCCCTCTCCTCTCCCTGGAATGAATGGCTGCACGCAAGCCTGGTCCAGAGGCCAGGGAACACCCCGACTTCTGAAACCTCCTGAGAATCCCACAGCACCCCATCTGGCCCCTGGGGGCAGGGAGAGGCCTGGCCCAGGGACCAGTTCAGATGATGCTGTAGGAATGCAGCACACGGTCCTCCCTAAGAGTGCAAAGTGGGAGGGATGGTACAGATGACTCATTACACTGCAGTCGAATTAAGGCAATAATAAAATCATAAACAAAACTTCTCGCCTGAGTCACCAGCTCAGACACATATTACTTCTGGCCACAGGCAGGCCCAGAGGCAATTCTGTCACCAGGGAGCACATCCCCTCTTGGTTTGCTGGTCCTCATCTGGGGTGGGGACCTCAGAAGGGGATTCACCCGCAGACAGCAATGGGGTGTAGGCAGCCCCCCATGCTGGAGGGGGCCCAGCTAACAGTGTTGTGTCTGCTGGGAGCTGCTGCACCTGCTCCACTTGATGAGTGACAAACAGCAACAGATGCGCAGGGCAGGGAGGCTGAAAGCTTTGTCTGCTTTTGCAGCCCACGCACAGAAAGCAGTTCCCCTGCCAACGACCAGGTGGCTTTGCCCAAATATGGAGAAACACTTCAGGCCATTAGTTCTGGTTTGAGCTAAGCAGAATAAACTAATCTTCCCCTGGCCGAATGGGAATTAGCTGCCTGCATCTCTGACGTTAGCAGTCAAGGTCCTCTGAGCCTGCCTGTTTCACAAGTACCTGCTAATGGATTCATTAGCTATTTATTTTTCCTTCTCTAAAAATGTAATTTGTAGCAAGGGGACATCTCTGGAAGGACATGGTAAATTATTAAAAGCGGCGATCTTTGAGTAGTGGGATTATGAGAGCTTTTTGCCCCCTGTGGACTATTTTTTTTCCATAATTGTTTTGTACATTGTGTATGTACAGATTTTTCCCCCTCGAGTGAAACCACAGAAGTTATTTTCTTTAAGAGGTAATTTATCTTTCTGCTATCCAGTCTGCCTTGGGTCCATGGACACTCCAGTCAGTTCTGAAGGGCCCGCATGGATGCCCACCAGGGCAAGTGTCTGGTCACATGGGGGTGAAAACGCCTAATTTTGCACAGTCTTGTGCTCTTATCCAAGTGGTTACACACAGAGCCCAGACCCTCAGGCAGCCCCAGCACTGTGGGCTGGGGGCCTCCCCGCCAGTGCTCCAGAGCTGTCCTCATTTTTCAATGGGAACAGACCCTAAGAAGCCAGATTTTCAAAGCAATAGGCAGCCAGATCCTGAATGTTCTATCTCATTGCTTTGGATGCCAGCCTATGGGTCTGCCTGGCACCAGCAATGGCTCTGTCCCCTGTGGAGCCAAACCCCGACCTGCCCATGTAGTGTGGATGCCACTTCTGGGGGCTCTGTCCTGGCTAGACCCAGCATCCCACCCATCCCACTGCTGCATTCCCGAGGTCCCTGAACCTGCCTCAGTATCCCCATCTAGTCCCCATGCCCTAGCATGGTAAAGGGAAAACAATCTGGGAGAAAAACCAAGGAACTCAGGAGAAAGCTGCCCCCAGCCCCACCCCTCACTGGGCTCACACAGCCCTGCAGGAGCTGGCCGGGGGTTACAAAGTAGTGAGCAGAACATAAACCCAAGCTCAAGTCTGCCTTGTGATAAGAAAAATTCGCCCATTCTACTGTCTTTGGACTATTGTTCTGGCCTCCCCAAAGGGCAAGTTTCGGGTCTCAGTCTCAGGGAAGGAATTCAGAGGCATTTCCTTGCACTGTGCTCCCTTCAAGGAAGGGCTAGGGACATTTGGGGGGCACATAAACTGTAGATTTTGAACAACCAGAAGGACTACTTTGACCTCCTTAAGCATTTCTCTGGCATGTTTTGGGTTTGACTCTCGTGGTTTATCCTCATCTCGGGAGCTGGGGCCTCCCTTACATGTTTCCCATGAAGGCTTAGCATATGTGTACACACCTGTGCAAGCTCTCTGCATATCCCACGGCCAGTCCCAGGTATGTGCCTGACTGTCCCTGGCCGTGACTCATGCATATTAGCTAACTAGTTTGTCCTGTGTCTCCCAAGTTATGAGCCAACATAATCTGACTGGGTGGGAGAACCTGCCAGGGACCAACACCTCCTCCCGCAGCGCTGCCTCCAGCCCGGTCAGGGTGCCATACCTCCAAAGCCTGACTTCCAGTTCCTGTTGAGATCCACGCCAATGCAGAAGATACCACGTCTGGTGGACTTGTTCTTCCGCCACAAGCGGTTCTGAGAAAGCCCAGGTCAGGTGACCTCATTCACTGGGCCAATTCCCAGGGGTGGGAGCCTCTGACATTGGGGGTGGGGGAGTAGGGGTTCAGGGAGGAGCAGAGGGAAGGAATCGCTAGGAGACAGGATGGGGCTGGCATGGGCTGGGCCAAGGCTGCAGATCAGGTACTTGGCAATTGAAGCCAAGGGTCTGGGCCTGAGCACAGGCTGCCAAAAGCGGCCTTCCCCGGGCAGCAGGAAGGCGGTCAAAGGGCAAGAAGCTGCAGGTGCATTCCCTGAGCAGCCCTCCTGCCCTCGGTGAGGCTCTCTGCAAGGAGCCCCTGAAGGCACTGGCTCCCTGAGGTACAGTGACCTTTCCTTCATCCCCCTAGAGTGGGCCCCTGCCCCCATGCTCCCAGGAGCCCTCACCATGCTGTGGGTGAAAGCAAACCCATCAGGGTTGGTGACAAGCTCTATAAAGATGTCCATGGCTTTCAGTATGTCTGTCAGGACAGGGTCTTTACCGTATTCACTGACAATCTGCAAGAAAGGGTAAGGGGTGGGAGGCCCTGCTGGGCTCTCCTGGGAAGTGGAACAGGACATTTGCACAGCAGGTGGCTGCAGGAAGGGGTGGCATGAGACCATCAGGTACATCCTCCATGAAGGACCAAAAGCTTAGAATTTAAACAGCTAGAAGGCAGAGGATAGATGTGGGCTCTGGGTTGCAAAAGGCCAGAGCTCATGGTGGCTGTTCCAAAGGGCATGAGGGGAGAGAGCACCCCAAGAAAAATCTTTCCACTGGAGGTGCCCTTAAATGGTCACCCACCCTTCTCCCAGTTCCAGCCCCCATCATGGCGGTCCTCGGGTGAGGGTCTATGCTGACCTTCTTGGCAGTCCAGATGCCGGTAGCATGGGTGATCCACTCCCGGGAGTGAATTCCAGTGTCAATCCAGATGGCTGGGCGCCGAGAACCTCCAGTGCTGAACTGGAAAAAAGAAGCAGGCCCCAAACAGAGGTTTTTCCCGAGACAGCTACTGTCCCTGGGCTACCTGGTGGGAGGTCCCAGGTGCATCCTACTGCTTAGGGCAGCTCTACATGTCAGGTGTGTCTAGCCCAAGAGAGTGTGTGTGTGCAGGTACCTGTGTGTGCGCCCAACAGGGCACAAAGGGCCTTGGAGATAGGTAGTCCCCTTGGCGAGCGAAGTGATCCAGCCAGAAGCACAGAATTTCCCAGGATTGAAGGTATCTTAAGACTAGTGTTTCCCAAACTTAAATGGCACATGAATCCACCTGAGCATCTTACTCAAGTGCAGATTTTGATTCAGTAGGTTTGGGGAGGAGTCTGAGGTTCTGCATTTCTAGCAACATCATCAAGGTGATTTTCATGTTGCTGGGCAAGGACCACACTTTGAGTAGCAAGGCTTCAGGCCAGGGTGGGAAACTGCAGCCTTAAGGCCACATGTGGCCTTCCAGGTCCTTAAGTTCAGCCTTTTGACGGAATCCAAATTTTACAGAACAAATCCTTTTATTTTTATTAATATTTTTAAATTTTAAAAAATGTTTTATATTTTTATTTTATTTTTAAAATGAACATATTTAAAATACCAAAGAATATAATAAGTTTCAACAAAATAATCCTCCTGGATTGACCAGCACAATTAGAACATAAGGGCTAAACTGATGATTGCTACGCTCTTGATTTAGTTCTAACTTCCCCCGCCTGACTGGAACCACTACCGCACGAGGCTGGTTGGCGAGAGTTTATGGGGGGGTCGAGTGCACCAGTCTGTTATCAGCTTTTGACAACCGTGCACTGTGTTTCTGTTTGAAGTGGAATTTGTGAATAGCTGCATGGCTCAACAGTATTTTTTAATTCTGTCTGCTTAACAGCCCATCATGTCAAACAAGACCAAGGGAACGCTGAAGGAAGAAAACAGATTTTTTTAATGAGGATTGGGAATGGCAATATTATCTTGTTTCTGCTAAATATATTATTTGCTTGCTTTGTGATGCTGCAATATCAACATTAAAGAAATTTGGGGCTGGGCACGGTTGCTCAGTGGTGGCTCATGCCTGTAATCCTAGCACTCTGGGAGCCTGAGGCAGATGGATGGCTCAAGGTCAGGAGTTCGAAACCACCCTGAGCAAGAGCAAGAACCCTCCCCCCCATCTCTACTAAAAAAAATATAAAGAAATTAATTGGCCAACTAAAAATATATAGAGAAAAAATTAGCTGGGCATGGTGGCACATGCCTGTAGTCCCAGCCACTCGGGAGGCTGAGGCAGAAGAATCGCTTGAGCCCAGGAGTTTGAGGTTGCTGTGAGCTAGGTTGATGCCACGGCACTCTGTCTCAAAAAAAGAAAAAAGAAATTTGATGCTCATCAGCATTATAACACTCATAAAGACCAAAAATATTTTAAATTAGAGGGAGAGGTCCAGAAGGTTGTATTGCAGGCATTAAAAGATGAAAAACAAAAGCAAAGACAATTCCTTCAAGCAGCAATAAGACTTGGAAATAATGCCACTGAAGCAACTTATAAAGTAGCTTATGTACTGGGCAGGGGTGGAGGGGTGGGAGGGGGAAGGAAGCCATTCAGTGATGTAGAAATTGTGAAAGAATGCATGTCAAAGTTGTAGGATGCTTAGACCCCAATAACGTTTCAAAGTATGAATAGTTGCCTCTTTCAAGGAGAACTATAACTGATCAGCAGCATCAATTAGCCTTCAACTTAATAGAACAAGTTCATGCAATACCTCAAAAGGAAAATATATATTATTCAATCTCTTTGAATGAATCAACTGATACTACTAACTTGGTGCAGGTTTTATACTTCATTTGAAGTATAACAGAAGATTTTCTTTGGTATGAAGAGTTACTCACATGTGAGAACAGAACAGGGGAATAGATGTCTTCAACAACTTTCAAGATAAATGTTGTGAAGTTGGACTGAATTTGGTAAATTTAGTTAGTGTATGTACAGATGGTGCATCTTCTATGACAAGAAAATATGACGGGTTTATTGCACAGATAAAAAAAAAGTATTAACAGATCCAAATGCTCTCATTTTCTTTTCACTGTATCTTGCATCAGTGAAATCTCTGTGCTAAGCTACTATTTTAAGTGACACTTTGCAACAAGTTATAAGTATCGTTAACTGTATTCCTGCAAATGCAACCCGACATCAGCATCACCAATTTCATAACATGCTAAAGTTGAAGGATGAGATATTCAGTGTGGATTTGTAGTATCATGCTAAAGTGTGTTGGCTATCGCAGGGACAGGTGTTAGCCAAAATTTTATCTCTGAGAGAACAGATAATTAAATTTTATGAAGAACAGAATCAGTAATGTGAATTATTGAAAGAAGATTTCTGTAAGAATGCAGCATTTCTGTGTGCTATCATGTCAAACAAAATGACTTGAATATTTCTTTGCAAGGTAAGACTAAGTCCGTATATGACATGTAGCAAAAAATCCAAGCATTTTGAGAGAAAAAAAAAAAAAAGCTATCTTTTTTCAAAACACTTCTTCAAAAGGAAATTTCAGATGAACATTTCCCCTAGTTAGCAAAGGTCATTGATGATATATGTGAATCATTTGAAGAATATGCAGCTGTTACAGACAAATTCATTGGAGAATACAACGAAAGGTTCACTGACTTTAAGAGCCATGACATCACACTGAAGTTAGCATTTCAGCCTCACCTAGTTGATATCACCAAGGCACCTAAAGAAGTACAGGTGGAATTAATTGATTGAGCTCTCAGTAGTTGACATTTTAAAATCATTGTTTGATGCTAAGAAAGATCCAATTGAAATGTGGAAAAATGCAGTAGAATATCCACAACTTTGGCAACATTCCCCAGAAATGCTTTCTTGCTTTTCATCCACTTACTGCTGCAAATCTACATTCTCCTACCTAACCCAAATCAAAATGCCCTTAAGGCCACAAATGACTGATACCCATCTAGAGGATCAGCTGAAACTGCGGACCGCCATGCTGCAACCAAACATTCAAAATGCTTTCCAACAAAAAGCAGACACGACAAAGTCATTTTAAGGTTAACTCTAAAATTAACAAATAGTTTTCATTTTTTGGAATTATTAAGTACATAGTAGTTAGATTTTTACAAAATAATGTACATTTTTAAGTATATCATTGAAGTTTCTTGAATGCAGCCTTATTTGATTTAAACTAAATTAATGGGGCCTTCCAACATGAAAAGGTTCCCCAGCCCTGCCTTAGATGACACTGCAGAGAAAATACCACCACAGCCCCAAGGGAAATGGAAGCAGAGACAGGGGAAGTCGGGTCCCAAGTTAGGGGAGGCCACTTGTCTGTTGGGAAGAGTTCACCAGAGCATTGTTGAGAGTGGCAGTGCCTGTCCTCCCTGACAGCTGATGCCCAGTGTCCTGCATGGTCCATGCCCCTTTTAGGGCCTGAATAAAGAATTGTTTTCTGGTGGGCTCTGCTGTTTCCTTCATGACCAAGGGGACTATGTTGCTGAGTTTGTCCAAACTCTGTTCCAGTGGCCCCTGTAAAGGGCTGGGAGGTTCCCCCAGAAGCTCAGGCCTCTCTGCAGGGCTGCTTGAGCCAGATGACACCAGTCATTGGCAAATGGGCCCTCTGTGTACCTCTCTTCCCATTTAACAGATGAAGCAACCGAGGTAATGGGAAGAATGCTGATTCACCCACACTCGGGCCCCAAGTCCGGGGAAACAATTGCCACTCTTTAGCTCCATCTCCTTAGCAACCTCCCACCTGCTCCCTAACCAAGGATGTACCAGATCACGGCACTACCACCTGTCTATACCTACTAGGGTGGGTCCCTGAATGCCACAATCTCAACCCTCATGGGTCACCCGAGGAAAGGAGAACACACTTCTCTCTCCCCAGAACTCCTACCCAGCCACCGCCCCACAGGAGCTCAGTCTTATGCCAGAGGCCCTCACTGTCAAGTGCAGTGGGGGACACTGCAAGCTTTTACCTTCAGGACAAGAATGGTCCGATTTTCAAAGCTCCTGCCAATCCGAATTTTTGAGACCATGTCTGAATGCTCAGTTACAAAGTTGTCCATCCAGCTATATATCTGAAAGGAATGAAGTTTATCAGACTGGCAGTTAAGTAGGGAGAGGGATGAGCCCCAGGACCTCTCCAAATGTTCTCCTTTCCCTATCCCCCGTCCTCAGTGCCTTCCCACCTCCCTTGAGGGTCTAAAAGAACCCAGACTGAGAACTTCAAAAATTGAACATGCCGTCAGGACTAAGGGCAGTGAGTCGTGGTCTGGTTGGACCCCCCAGGCTCCTTGCCCCGTGCAGAGCTACGCCTTTGCCTAGGAGAACAGCAGGTGCTGGGCCTGCTGAAATCCCCAGGCTCAGCCAACACAGCTCTCTCTGGTTGCAAATTCTCTCTCTCGCCTCCATTCTTTGGCCCCTTCAATCCATTTGACAGATCTGAGATACCGTGTAGTATTGTCTTTTTGCTTCTTTTATTTATTTTCTGTCTCGCTCTCTTTCTTTTTTATTTTTTTAGACAGAGTCTTGCTTTGTTGCCCAGTCTAGGGTGAGTGCTGTGGCATCAGCCTAGCTTACAGCAACCTCAAACTCCTGGGCTTAAGCAATCCTGCTGCCTCAGCCTCCCGAGTAGCTGGGACTGCAGGCACCCACCACCATGCCCAGCTAATTTTTTCTACATATATTAGTTGGCCAATTAATTTCTTTCTATTTATAGTAGAGATGGGGGGGTCTCACTCTTGCTCAGGCTGGTTTCGAACTCCTGACCTCAAGCAATCCACCCGCCTCGGCCTCCCAGAGTGCTAAGATTATAGGCGTGAGCCACCGCGCCCAGCCTTTTTGCTTCTTTTAGACACTAAGCCCCTTGAAGGCAAGGTTCTGGTCTTATTTATCTTTGGCATCAATAAATACTGACAGACTACATTGATTCATTCTCTAGTCTTTCAATACACATAACTGAATTAACAACTACATGAAAGAGAATGGATCCTCCATTACAAGCCTTCTGAAAGGAAAAAGTGATGGTGATAATAGAATGGACAATGTCAATAATGTCACGTCCTTTACATGCAAAATGAGACCTGTGTCTTGAGTTTCTTTATGGAGTGGGCATCCATGTGCCCTCCTTGCATATCCCCCTTTATAAATAAGTCACCGTTAGTCATACCTGCACTGGCTGGCTGTAATTGTAATCATGAATTTTCTTCAAGAGAAGGCAATTCTGTTTTATTCTACAAATGTGGCTCTCCAAAATGTGCCTGGCTTTCTGCTCCTATGTACCCCAGGACACATAGCTGGGTCCCCTGGACACCAGGACTGGTGGAAAGGAGCAGACCCCGGGATCCCTCACCAAAGGACTGGATACAAAGGCAGCCTCTGCTCTGCCCATAACAGGTCCTGCCTTAGTGCTGTGCCTAGTAGACCCATTACTCGCCTCTGTACCTGCCTAGGGTTGTATGGTTGAACTGCAGTCCCCTCTCTGAATCCTGGCATCTGGACCTCTCTGAGGCTGACTGTCTACCTAATGGACCTCACCTAATGTCTGCTCTGCTCTTCCCAAGAGTCATTTATAGTCTCCTATAGACCCAGGAGTCCTTCCCTAGTCTCATCTGAGTCTGGAGACCCTGAGGGGCCCCAAGGCACAGGAGAGCCCAGAGCTTGACCTGGCAGACATACCTCCTCCAGGGTGTGGTAAGAGGAGTAGCTGAAGCTGCTGGTGCTGCGCTCCAGCCGGCGGGACCTCGCCATGGCCTCTCTCTCCTCATCCAGCAGCACCTAGGGGACAGGGGACACATGCTGGAGGGGGAAGGAGGGGGCTGGGCTGGCCATGCCTCTTCTGAGCCCTGCCTCAGCAGGCTGTGTGTAAAGACAGAGGTGACACAGGAGAAGGAGCCACCATGAATGTGAGGGGCACAACAGTAGGATGTGCCAGGTTGCTGGGTGACTCTTCTGCCTGGCAAGCTGGCATTCATGCTACCATTTCCCAAATGAGCACAGGGCAAGGAGTCCAGAGAGTCCAGAGAGCTGAGTGTGCCTCTGCCACTAACTTGTGGTGGCCTTAGTTTTCTCAGCTTAAAACTTGGGTCAGAAATATCTGCCTTGCCACCTCATAGGAGAAAATGTAATATCAGATATAAAGGTGTTTTGGGAAAAGGTGCTCACAGTCTACTGTGACATTTCTTTTGCACATTATAAACACGCTGTTGAGTCAGAACTCAATATGACTCATGCACGCTGTCCCCCTGGAGAGAAGAGAAGGCTCCTCTCGCCCCCGATATTGACTCTCCTCCCGGGAAGCAGCCTAGACAAGTCATTTGGAAAGCCAGGTATGGACAAAGCCTTAATAATAATAATAATTATTATTATTAATGTGCCAATGGTATTTCAGGCACCATATTAACTGCCTCCTAAACACAAGTATAAGTGAGCCAAAAGCAATGCCCTTGGGTGTCAATTTGGAGTTGGCACTCAATCCTCACACGGTGCTTCCACTAACCACAGAGAGGGCAGTTAGGGTCTGGTGGGTCACCCACTCACTGCTCAGATCACCCACATCATCCTGGGCATTTTTCCGAGCTTGGGTCACAGTGAGATGGGCAGGTTCCCTTCATCCAGGCTCATGCCTTTGTATTGGCACCCAGGGGGTAAGGCTTCCCAGGGTCCAGCACTGACTGTCCCAGATGGATGCTGAGAAAGCCCCAAATTGTCCCTTGTTTGCAGCTCTGGGTCACAAGCCAATCTTTAGCATAGCTTATGGCAGGCTAGAGCCTTTGTTTACCAAGCAATTTTACCTTCATTGTCTTACTTGATCTGGTCAGATGACCTGATAATAAGGCAGGAATTATAATTACTATGTGTTCTAGAGATAACTGCAGATTGTGAGGGTGCTTAATGGGGCAAAGCTAACAAGAGGCAGATGTGAGATAAGAACCAGATATCCTGGTCCCTGGCCTGAAGTTCCTTAGGCTAGCTATCAGAACTAAAGGCCAGCAATGAAAACATACATACATGGATATGTGTACCTGTGTGTGTGAGTGCATGTGTGTGGACAGAGCGTGCAAATGTGCAAAATGTTAGCAACAGCTAAAAAGTGCAGCATGCTATCTTAAAAAGTTTATCACAATAATGAAAAATGAAGGGCCGCCCCCCCCAGCATAGGAACACAAGATAACTAAAACACCAGAAATATATACTCAAATGCTAACAACGCCTTTTAGCGTAGAAGAATTAGGATTTTGAGTATATTTGTTTCTTTTCCCTATTTTTACATTTTGGCAATGTGCTTCTACTACTTCAATAAGTAAGAGCTTTTAAATGAATAAATAGTAGCAGCAAAACCAAAAGCCCTAATGGCTAATGCTGTCTTCTACCCCAGGCCCCCCACCCCGCCCCACCCCACCTGCTGTGATGAGGCCTGCCTGGTGACTGTGTCCTCCCAGAGGCCTGGTCAGCTTGCTCACAGCTCTCAAGTTCACAGATTGCAAAATGGAACTGTGAATCGATGTTTGAGGCTCATTTTATTTCATGTTTGAGCACTGACAAGATGTGAGACATTACAGTTACAATGTTTTCTAGCTGAACTGGCCGGGTTGGGGACATTTCCACTTGGGCAGAGCTGGGATTGCCAGTTAAGTTAGATATGGCCGGGGGAGCCCAGATCCTCTCTGGCCACTCACAAACACCCCTGGGAAGCTCTAACAAAAGGAATTTGTCTTCTTCCCAGAAAACCAACCCAAATCTCAGCAGCCCCCCATGACCAATGCTTGCTGGCCACTTGCGCAGGAGCTGCCAGCTGCGATGAACAGCTGCAAGGAAGACAGGCCCCGGCCAGCCTGAGAATGCAGTGAAAGTGTCTCGAGGGTCTGGGGGCAGCCTGCATGGGGGTGGAGGACAGGGAAGAGGAATGAGAAAGAAAGGACTGAGGACCCAGTTCCTCCCGCGCAGCCCCAGCACACCACAGGAACACAGCTCCCTCCAGACTGTCCTTTGTTCCACAAAACAGCCTGGAGGCAAATGGTGAGTCTGCACCAAACTGCAAATAACTTTCCCGACACCCTCACAGCCTTGCGAATGGATATGACACCCTCTCTCAAATCAGGAACGCTCGGCCCTCACAGCTGGGCCCCAATTCCAGAAACATGAATCTGCCCTGGCCTGAAAAATGGACAGGCAGTTGCTCTCCGGCTCCCCAGGGCTGAGGGAAAGGGACGGGCCCATGGAGAGCGCACTCTGCCGCAGGCTGGGGAGGCCTAATCACAGTCCTGTCAGGCTTCTCAGGAGAGAAAAAACAAAACAAAACAAAGAAACAAGGAACTCAGAAGTAAGCCATTTGCTTCCCTGGAAGCGGTAACCTGACTGGGAAAGTAATACTTTGGTGTGAATTAATTTATGGCGGGGACATTGGGCAGAGAAAGCACCTCAGGCTGGGGAAGGGGAGGCCTCAGGGGAGCGGGGCCTCTCAGCAGCTGAGCCCCACCAGGAGGGGCTGGGGAGCCTGGAGATCTTCTCTCCCAGGCCTGACCGCTGCGGGAGCAGCTACAGTCCCGGCCTGTACGAGAGGGCGCTACAGATCTGATGCTGTGGGAATTGACCCCTCAGAGGTCGCGGCTAACCATAGGGCTTCACTGTCCCAAGGGCAAAGTTAAATCACCACACAAAGAACAGTGGCCACCACAGGGCAGACCAGCGAGCCAGTCCAGGAACCAAACTGTCTCAGATTATACCCTGACACTGTTACTAACATGGGCAAACTACTAACTTCTCCATGCCTCAGTTTCCCCTTCATAAAAGGAGGGATCATGTCATCACATACTTTAAAGTGTTCTCCTGAGGATCACAATGGGTAACACATGCTAAGTGCTTAGAACGTCACCTGGCACATAGTAAATACTGGTAAATGTTAGCTATGAGGGGGATGACGAGGACAAGGAGAGGACCACAATAACCCTTGGGGTGACTCCAGGGCTCTGCAATGGGTCACTACAAGGCATGGCCAGGAAACGGGGATTCCTCCAGAGGGAAGATGCATCTGTGGGGCTTGGACCACAGATCCCCATTCACGGTCATCTGGGTGAGTCAGTCAACACTGCCCTTCGTGTGGCCCCAGAGGGGCCTGGGTCCCCTGCTGTCCCTGCCTGGTGATGCAGCCAGGCCCTGCCCCTCCCGGGACCTCACTCATGGCTGCTCCTGTCCTCCCTGCCTTCCCTGCAGTCTCCCCTGCGGCCTCCTCTCCTCTCTAGGCCACCCACCCCCACACCGGTGACAGCCCCTCCACCTTCGAGACCCTGACGTTCAGCCAGCAAGTGTTTGTTGGGCGCACAATATTTGCTGGGCACTGAAGATATGGCAGCCAACAAAACAACACTGTCTGCCCTCGTGGAGCTTACAGTCTAGTGGGGGAGACAGACATGTGGTGAGGAGAAGAGCAGAGGAAGAGGGGGAGGAGAGAAGGAGTTGGGGAAGTAGGGGAGAAGAGGGCACAATTTAAAATAAGAAGGTGACGTGCGAGCAAGTCCTGAAAGCAGGGAAGGAATAAACCATGCAGCTGTCTGCAGGAACAGCATTCCAGGTATAGGGACCAGCAGGTGCAAAGGCCCTGAGGTGTGAGTATAGCCAAGGGCCCTGAGGCAGGAATGGGGCAGGAAGCACCAGGAACATCAAGGAGGTCCCTGTGTGGCTCAGAGTGAGCAAGGGGAGAACAGTCAGTGATGCAGGGTAGGGAGGTGCGCCTACAATGTCAAAGAGCTACCAAAACCCTCACGAGGACTTTGAGCTGGGAAGCCAATGGAGGACGTTAAGTGGAGGAGTGACCCCATCAGAAGTGCATATCTTTAAAGGACCCCTCTGACTGCTGTTTTGAGACCAGGCAATAAGGAGGCAAGGGTGGAATTGGGGAGAAGAGCTAGAAAACAACTGGAATAATCCAGGTAAGGGATGATGGTGCCTCGGCCCAGGGGATGGTGTGGATGTCCTGAAATACATTTTGAAGGCAGCGCCCATGGGATTTGCTGAAGGATTGGACATGGGGTGTGAGAAAGCAGTCAAGAATGACTCCAAGCTTGTTGCCTGTTAGAGACTAAGACCCTCAACACCCCAACGACTTGTCCTACGCATGGGCTTCGCCCTGGAAAATTCCCAGGACAAAAATAAGCACCCAACCCTCCAGCTATAGCTCTGAGAAGAATGTACTCTATGACGTGCTTGCTCTAAGGTGTGCTATTTGTAATTGTTTGCTCTAGGGTGTGCTGCCTGCAATTGTTTCTGACCCCCACCCGCCCGGTTGAGGTTGAGTGATCAGTTACAAACAGCTTTAATGCCGATAAAATGCTAATTGGGGCTGATTGACCCAAACCCGAGCCTCATCATCCCCCCACTCTATTTTTCTGTTCATACTTCCTTGTTTCTATATGATTATAAAACCAGCAGAAAATCTAAGTAAAGTAGACCTTGACAACCATTTGCTTGGTCTCATTCCTTTCTCTCGCCCATCTCTTTCAGGCACGGTCCCCCTCGCCCCCCGCGAGTAACAGAAGGTCCTGCGTGCCGGGACAGTTGCCTGAGTGACTGGAAGGATGGTGTTGCCCTTCCTGAGCTGGGGAAGGCTGCAGAGGAGCAGAGGGAGGCCCGGGGGAGCCTGGTGCAGACCTGGAAAGTTCAAGATGCCCCCTGGACACACAGGCGGAAATACTAAGTAGGCAGTTGGATGCAGGAGTCTAGAGCCAGGAGGGAAGAACGGCTGGAGACATAACACAGGAGGCATCAGGAGACAGAAAGTATTTAACACGGTGATCCCAGAGGAGGGGAGGGATGAGCGGTCCAAGGCCAAGGGAGCAGCCAGTGAGCTGGGATAGCCCCGGAGAGCACAGTGTCTGGGAAGTGGAGAGAAGAGACACTCCCAGGGAGGAGAGAGCGACCAGTGTACTGACGGAAGAGGAACACTGGGAGTTGACCACAGGGCTGGACAGGACCTGCGTGTGACACTGCCAAGGGCAGCTCTGGTGAAGTGAGGGGGACAGTCTGCTGGGGCAAAGGATGGGTATGGCATGCAGAGGCAGGATCTCCAGAAGTTTTGCTCTAGCAGACAAATGGCGTGATTGCTGGGGGATGAGGGAGGAATAAAGAGAGGACTTTGTAAGGTGGGAGAAATAACCCTCCATTTGTATGCTGATGGGGATGACCCACTAGAGAGAGGGAAATTGGTGAAGCAATATTTACACTAAATTGGATTCTGCTCTAGATGGTAGGAGCATGGGTGAATTTTGTTTTCTACTTCTACTTTCCCCTATTTTCCAAATTATCTAACATGAATATTTATTAATTTTGTAATCAGAAAAAAGCCATTAAAATCCACCGAGCTGATTGCTCAAGTGAAGCTTTTCCATGGTGACTCATCCCAGGGAAAAAAAACAACCACCACCAAAGGGCTGCAGAGAATGAGGAGGTGAAGAAAAATTAAATGCAAATGGAGCTCACTCAGAATCAGATAATTTCTTGCCTGGCCCACTGCAATTTCCTCACCGCCCTCCTGCCTGTCAGTCTCCCTGGCCCTGGCCTCGACTCAACACTGTCACTGTCAGAGCGGCATTTCTTCAGTGCAAATCTGATCACGTCGAAGCCCCTCCTATGGCTCCCCCATGGTGTTCAGGTTAAATTCCGACCTCTTCACATGGCAGAGGATGCCCTTTGTGATGGGGTCCGGCCTCATCGCCAATCGGGGGTGGGGGCCCCGTTCCCTGGCCAGCCCCCCTCAGCTGCTCTTCAGCGCACCGTAATTACCGCCTTCTCTGAAGCCGAGCGGGCCTCTTGTGTGCGCTCCCATAGCAACCGCCCTCTCCACCGCTCATCCACTCCATTGTAATCACTGATTCCCCCCTCCCCCACGCCGCTCCAGCTCCCCTGGATGTAGCGGCTGGATTTTTCATGTTCGAGCTCCCAGCACCTTGCCAGAGGCTCAGCACACAGTAGGGATCTCTTTGTCTGTGGCCGGAATGAGGGGTCCCACCCGTCTTTCTCAAGCACCCCTAGCAGCACAAGCCAGGTGGGAAGAGGACGCACTTCCCTTCCTCAAAAATCTCCCTCACCCCTGGCCAGAGTGAAAACCGGCATTGAGGTTTTTGCAGCCCCCCTGGCAGCCTGGTCCTAGCCACCAAACGCAGCCTCTGCTCTTTCCTTTCCTCTTCTCGTCCAGCAATTCAAAACAGATGCTTGTTAAGCCCCGGTTAACAGCGGGCACTATGGTGGGTGGGTGCCGGGGTTGTAGACAGACAAGAGTGTGGAACTGAACTTGAGGGTGGAGGGCAGGGGACCAGGGGGACAAAGACCAACACATTAACAAGGTCTGTCTCCAGACTCGCTTTCGGCTTTCCGTGAGTGGCCCCTAGAGTGATTCACTCAGCAGAGGACCTTTGAGGGCCCGCAGTGCAGGGGACGTAGTTCCCAGTACCGGGGCTGAGAAGATCCAGTGGACAGGGAGGAAATCAGCCCCGTGTGTCCGTCTTTGAGTCGGAAGACTGGAGGCCCACGGCCCAGTACTGCAAAGCCTTTCCCATCCTGTTAGTGCCTCTGGGCTTTCCTCCTTCCGCCCGGACCCCTCCTCCACCACTGCCACAAATCAACTCGACACAAAGGCCTCCCCCGCCCTCAGCCCCCTCTAAGCCAAAATGTGATCTCAAGTATGGCAGTCAGAGCTTGATGCGTTGCAGACAGAGCGAGTTGTTGCTGAAAACCCTGCCTGGCTGGGTTAGGGCCAAGAGTTCAGGGCATTTTCCCGAGAGGGAGTACAAAGCCTCAGAGGGTCCTGGGGCTGGGGACATCAGGAGAGGATGGGCAGGGAAGAATGCAGCCAACCGGCTCCAGAGGAGCCAGCGGGGGAGGCTCAGAGGTGACTCTGAGGTGACTCTGGGGCCGTCCCTGATGTGCAGAAATCAGCGGAAAGTTTGCAGAGAGACCTCTGCATATCTGTTTGCCAAATGCTCCTGGCTTCCCAGGGCGGGGCAGGAGCAGGGAAATGCAAACTTCAAAATATAGGCCTGGGCTAAAAATGAGCATTAAGTTCTATTTCTTTTGATGTGGTAGCCTCTCTAGTCTGTGGGAGTTTCCCTATTTTTGTTTGTGGGGGATTTAGAGAACTATCCCACCCCCACATGTCGAGCGGGAAACAGATGTGCCTGCTGGGGGAGAAGGGTCTTTGCAGGGACCCGAGTGCCCGGCCCTTGCTTGCATGGGAAAGGAATGCTGCCTGGTGCATTGCCCCCCTGGCATGCAGTGTCCGTGCTCGCTCCAGGAGACTCTGTCCCACACTGGAGCCTTTACAGGAGATCAGTGGCGTACAAAATGGTTGGGAATGAATCTACGTGGACACATTTCCACAGGTACAGAGCCAGCGACAGCATGGGCGGAAGGATGCAGCCAGGAAGCCTTAACTTATGAACGGTACCCAAGAGAACGTTTAGGAAGGAAGCGGTGCTGCCAGCGCCTTTCATAGGCTGTCTAGGCTATCCCTGAAGACAGGACGACTGAAACAGAATGTCACGATGTTCAGAAAAGACGCAGAGAGAGCGTGCAGGGAGGCAGGGAGGCCCGGGATAAAGGCCTGCTTTGCCTTTCCCACGGGCAGATCTGCAGCCACCTGTCCCGGCAAGCTGCCTAGGGGAGCTTTCTCCTCCTCCTCATCAGCTGCGAGTCCCCGCACAAGAGGAAGGGCTCATCCCCACGAGGCCTTGCCATTACCGACTACACTCTGAGCATTTCCCCCCATGAACTTTGTCCTAGGTTTTAAGTTTCCTTTGAGAAGTGTGAGATTTAACTCCTTCCACGGCATGCTCCCAAACATGCAGACGGAGGTCCAGAAACAACAACTCTACTCTTAGCCCTGAATGTTTAGCCTCCAGGTTAGGACCCCACCAGAAAGGCAGGGGGATGAGGCCCCAGCCAGTGAGGGAGGGGGAGACCTCACCTGGATGTCCTTTATCATGATGCTGTAGGCCAGGCCATGAGACGCCAGATAAGCTTTGACGTCTTTCAGTTCAGAGAAAGAAACTCTCATATCCACGGGGAGGCTGGGCCTGGCTGGGGAGCGCCAGAAGTCCACCTTGTTCAAAAAGGAAAAAAAACAAACAAACCGGTGCATTCAGTACATATCATACACAATGCTTTAGGCACCCTGGAGAGCCCTGGAGATAATCTGTTAGACAGTAGTCCCCCCTTAGGCACGGGAACTACACTCCAAGACCCCCAGGGGGTCCTGAGAAGGCAGATAGTACCAAACCTTATATAGACTGTTTTTTTCTATACATACAGACCCATGATCAACTTTAATTCATAAACTAGGCACAGTAAGAAATTAATAACAATAATAAAATAGAGCAATTATAACAATATGCCAGAATCACTACTCTTGCACTTTGGAGCCATTATTAAGTCAAATAAAGATTACTAGAAGAGGAGCACTACAATACCACGACAGCTGATCCGATAACCCAGACGGCGACTAAGTGACTGAGGGGGGCGCTGGCAGGGAGTGTGGACAAGGCAGAGACATAAGATTTTATCACGATACTAGAAGAGCACAATATTTAAAATGTATGACTTATTTATTTCTTCTAGAACTTTCCATTTAATGTTTCAGACCACAGTTAACTGAGGATAAGAGACTGCTGTACACTTAAAAGGGCTCCAGTTCCATAATGAAAACCCTAAGGCTGAGGAGAAGGACCAGGACAAACACACAAAATCCCAAGCCACTGAGGTTCTGTCCCTGATTTCGAGCACCCTTGTCTCCCTAAACATCTGCTTCCCAAGCGAACGCGCTTAGCCTGGGGAACCTGTCACTCGCACATGTCACAATTTGGCTTGGATCCAAGAGCCCTAACGAGTTATACAGGTGAGACTGAGCATCATCGGGACATTCGCATGGACAAGAACCCTGGCCAGGACAGGGGGACAACCTTGATGGCAAGCCCTGGAGAAGTAGGAAAGGCGGATTCTGGACCCCCAAGTCAGCCTTTGGCTATGTTGATTTCTCAATTTGTAAAACAGAGAATTAGCATAAAGTGTTAAGAGTCCTTGCAACAGGGAAGCTTCACAGCAAGTAGGAGGAAGAGCTTCGGGCCACATCCAGAAATATCTGGTTGTTTCCACCGCCCTCAAACAAAACCCTCCTATTATAATATAGTCAAAGAAAATGTTTTCCATTGTGAAAACTTGCAGAGGACAAGTGTTCTCGGAAACCAGTGCTTGGGCTGACAGGGACGAACCCAAACAAAACACAGGTTTGCCAGGCAAAGCCCGTTCACTTTGGAAGCAAATGTGTCCAGCCACCCTGCTACGTGGCGTCCCACCCAGAACATCTGTGCCTCCCGTGTGGCTTTTGGAAATCCTGGCCATTTGCAGAGAGGCTGCCTGACAGAGCTCTCTCAGCAGCCTCCCACTGGGACAGAGGGGATGGCTAAGGAAGCAACTGCAGCCTGAAAAGGCGCCACAACCTTCTGGGCAAGTGTCCCCAGTTTTTCCTGAAGAGGAGCCACATTTTATTTTTCCACAGTTTTGTGCTCTTTGGCAGAGACATTAAGAGGGCAGGTTTGGGGTGGGGGGAGCAGGACAGGGAGCTGAGGTGTGAGCCACTGGGGGTGTCCCCACGCCCCGAGGAGTCCTCACCTTCTGGGGCTTCAGGCCTTCCAGATCCCTGAGAAGTGAGAGCTGCTTCTCATCCTTGGCCAGGACTCGAAGAACCTGGTCTCTGGAAAAACATGGCGAGGGGGGGAGAAAGCTGTGGGGAAGGATTCCTGGAAGGCTGTGTCCCTTGGAAGAGGCAGAGTGGAGAAGAGGCCGGGCTGAGGGGGCCTGGCAGGAGGCTGGAGGAGCCCTGAGCAGGAAGGACTTGTGCGCAGCTCTGAGGAACACACAGTCCCTCGGCCTAGAGCCATGGGCTCTCCAGGCCCAAGGACAGACCCAAGGGGACTAAATAAAGCCCATCCATGCTACTGAGGGACAGAGAGCCAAGACAGGGAAAGAAGGAGGGGAAAGGAATATGGCGTGCAGTGTGTGTCTGTGTGTAGAACACAAGGACTGAACCGGAGAAAGGGGGTTAGATGCAGGGGGCTGAGGGGACCAATGGAGGCCACAGTCTGTCCAAATCCCAGGGAAGGGGAGATCAGATAATGTCACCCCACCTTATTCAGGGGAAGCTGAGCCCCTTCCCTTCCCAATGACAGTAGGGAGGAGGCGGCTGGTGCTGTGAGCTCAGAGGTCTGACACTTTGAGTGGTGTTGGTTGCCTCCCTGGGTGCTCTGAGACTGTGGTCAGGGAACCCCTCTCTAGGGTCTTCCCCACTGTGCAGATACGATGGAGTAGCTACCTTCTGAGGTCTTTGGGAGGCTCACAAATCATGTCCCTAGAGGCCTGGAGTACAATGCTAGAACTTACTGTTACTCAAAGGAGGACAATACCACACCATTTGTGGTAGGGGCACACAGTCTTTTGGGGGTTACTAACTGCTCTGAGAATCTGAGGAAAGCTATGAATTTTTCACCCCCAAAGGAGAACATACTGCATATGAAAACCGTTACGTGTGATTTCAGGGCATTCTTGGAGCCCCGAAAGCTTACCGCTGGACTCCAGGATAGGAACTCTGGGTTTGGGGAGGAGCAGCAGCACAGCTGGCGGCTTGGCCTGGAGCCGAGAGTGGGAGGCCCCAGCAGGACTGCCACCCTCCAGGACGCTGGGTGCCCTAGCTCCCCGCCAGTCCTCCCTCCTCCTGTGGAGCACTCACCCTGTGAAATTCATTTGGCCCAAAGCTGCTGCCAGAATAAAGCTGAAGACCAGGAGTGTCTGCCTGTCCAGAGGGGGCAGCCTAGGGCATGTCCCTCCACCGGGGGTGCCCTGCATGCTTCTTCCTCCAGGCGTCCTTCAGGGGCTCTCCTTGCACGCCGGCATGGCCCAGGCCTCAGGACAGCGCAGCACCTAGAGGCCGGCAGGCCCGGCCTGAGAAGGGGCGTTAGGCTCTGGGGGACACCCCACATGTGGCTGCCACATCAGGGGAGCTAGGGCTGCCCCTCCCCCACCCAGACAGAGCCTCTCCTGCGAAGGGGAGGGGGAGGGGAGAAAGAGGAAGACCAGGCCCTTGGCGTTTCTTCCTCTCCAGAGGGTTGCTGGGCCAGCCTCTTGTGAGCATGAAATCCTCCATCTCCGGAGAAAGGCGAGAGTAAACAGTGGCCCTAGACGCCACTCCTTTCCTCCCTCCTCTGTGAACTCTTCTCTTTTGCTCTCCTTCTCCCTCCCAACCCAGTCGTGCTTTCCCTGGCCACATCCTCCTCACGCGTGGGGCGTGGACATCGCTGAAAGACTGCTAGGCTTACAGACAGAGCTGGGGCAACCGACCTCATCTCTCTAAATCTCACTTTACTCATTAGTGCAATGGGGTTCATACCTCCCCTCCCTACCTCACAGGGTTTTGGGGGGTATTAGATGAGACAGCCTGGGTGAATTGGCTTGGCAAAGCCTGCCAAATGGAGTGTATTATTATTTCAAAGGTATTAGCTCTTAGTCACAGCTGCATCTTAGCTCAGTTGCGATGGGCAAAAGAGGAAGAGAAGAGCATGGAGAGCAGAGCAAAGGAAATCTCTATGGCACGAGAAGGAACTCAGTCAAGAGTCCCTTTTCTCTATCTTCAGGTGGTCGCCATTATGCCGAGACAGGCAGTTCGTTTGCTGCTAGACGTGGAGGTCACGGCAGTCCTTATTATAGCTCTCAACAGACAGCAGAGTCAATTCCTCAGTCCTGCCAAAGCCCCACACAGTCCCCTTTAGGGTCTGGGGGTGGGAGGCATACTGCAGAGCCAGCACACAGAGCGGTCATATTGGAAGGAAAAGTGAAAGATGATGCCTGAATAGTAAATGATGGATCTAACAGGAAACCCACAGGAGGTGGGGGAGGCAGAGACTCAATCCAACAAAGTTGTTCAGCAAAGGACGTCCACAAAAGGCCACTTAGCTGTCACCGACAATTCTCAGAAGCCCCCTCCCATCCATACTTTCCCAGAATGGCCAATTAATTGGCCATGTGTGCAGAGAGGGGAGCTCTTTTATTGACAGCACTCCCTGCTCCCCCGCCTGCCTGCTCTACTCCATTATTTCATGGTCCAGCTGTTCAGATGTGCCCAACTCTCCTAGAACCCTGGCTTTGGGAACTCTCAGTGACATTAGCAAAGGGTTTAAGGACCTAGAAAAGAAAGCAATTATGCTTTCCACCCCAGTAACATTCCGCTTCAGTAGCACCGGGAATAAGAGACTGCAAACAAAAGCTCAGGAATTTAAGAGAAAAAAGTGGGAGTGGTGCTAGTCACCAAAAGTACCCAGCATCTTCTTGTTCAAAAGCATCACTTTAAGTCACTAATAAGACCACTATCCCTGTGCTTGGTTTGGGGGGCAAAGGGGGAGAGAGAGAGAGTGAAAGCGAAAGAGAGAGAGAGAGAGAAAGAGAGGAGCAGTTAGGAATTCTTGAGAATTCTATGGCCGCACTTCCAATGGAACTTTCTGTGATAATGGGAATGTTCTCTGTCTGCACTGTCCAATAGGATAACACTAGCCGCTTGAAATGTGGCTAGTGAGACTGAGAAATCGAATATTGGATTTTATTTAATTTTATTTAATTTTAATTAATTTAAATACAATGTAAATAGGCACATGTGGCTACCATATCAAGCTGCAGAGTTCTTTGGGAATTCACCAACCCCAAAAGCACATCTCCAGTGGCCGATTTGAAGCAGAGACACAGAGCTCTGCTTGACCTAATACCCAGTGTTGGCTGCTCATTCATAATTAATTACTCATCTAATCCTTTACTCAATACATGTATACTGAATAGCTACTATGTGCCAGGCCACTTGCTAAGGTCTGGAAATAAAACAGAGAGCAACATATACCTGGCCCTTACATTTTTAATGGGGTAAGTAGACAATTTATTTCAAAAGCATACAGATAAAATGGTGACCTCGTAGTGCAAGGGTAATACATACGTCTGCCTTCAGATAAATGTCAAAATATAGTGTGTATACAAGAGGAAGGTACGTTGTACCTCAAGGACAAGTAACATGGATTCCATATAGGCTGAAGGAGGGTTTCCCTAAAGAAATTTTGTTGGAGGACTTTTATTGACTACAGGTATATGGATTCCATACCTAAACAATCCTGCTTAAATGAAAGAACTCAGGATAAAAAATATTGTTAATAACAACTTTTTGTTTTAGAGACAAGGTCTCACTATGTTGCCCAGGCTGGTTGTGAACTCCTGGCCTCAGGTGATCCTCCCCACTTAGCCTCCCAAAGTGCTGGGATTACAGGCATGAGCTACCGTGCTTGGCCTAATAATAGCTTTTTAAATGCATCAGGGGTTCGGCGCAAAAAGAAAAATCCAGATCCCAGAAAGAAGAAAAATCCAGACAGATCCACAAAAGGTAAGCCAGCTCCCCCCTGCCCAGCCCCCAGCATTTCTCAGAATCCTGGAACTCTTGGTCTTCTTCCTAGAAGCATATATCTTGTATCTAAGATTGTTTTTCTTCTGCTTCAAATCTATCTTTTCAGATTTGCCTTTATCAAAGATCTCTGTTTTTATTTACTTGAAAGTTCTTTACTTTGCTCTCCGTTTTGAAAGAGTCTTACTGGGTATAAACATTAGGTTGATTATTGCTTTTCTCTTGGCACATTGAAAATATTATCCCACAGTCTTCTGGCTTCGATTTTTGCTGCTAAAAGGTAATAGGTTATTCTACTTATTACTCCTTAGTTGGTGATGTTTTCTTACTTCTGGCTGCTTTGAAGATCTTCTGTTTGCCTGTGATATTCTACAGTTTTATCATGTATTCTTCAGACACATCATGATATGTCTAGGTGTAGATTTCTTTTGTTTCATCCTGCCTGAGAATCATTTGAATGCCTGCATCTGAGTATGGCTGTCTTGCCACTATTTTCAATTTCTCAGCCATTATATCTTTAAACTTCTTGTCTCTACTCTCTCTATTTCCTTCGTATGGAACTTTTTGGTTTTTTTTTAAACAGGGTCTCGCTGTGTTGCCTGGGCCAGAGTGCAGTGGCATCATCATAGCTCACAGCAACCTCAAACTCCTGGGCTCAAGCCATCCTCATGCCTCAGCCTCCTCAGTAGCTGGGACTACAGGCATGTGCCACCATGCTTGCCTAATTGGAATTTTTGATTAGGAGATATTAGGCCTTCTTATTCCATCCTCTAATACTCTTAACCCTTCTGTTATATTCCCATTTCATTGTTTCTCTACATTCTGGACAATTTATCTGTGTCAAATATTTGTTTCTTATTCCAGTTAACTGATTATCTCCTCAGATTGCAAATTTAATCTGCAATTTAATTGATCTGCTAAATTGTACATTTTGGTTGCTACAGTTCATCAACTCTGAAACAATTTTTCCCCCACATTTTAACACCTCTAAAGTCAGGATGCATCTTACAATCAGTGGCATCTTGCAATGATAGTTGGCAGTGTTTTTGATGTCACAGAAAATTAGGGTGCATCTTGTAATCAATCTTTTTTTTTTATTTTTATTTTTTTTTTTCATCTAGTGACACTATTGGGTTCTGCAGATTGTAATCAATCTTGTTTTATAGTCAACACAATATGGTATTCACTTTTCATTTTTAGAAGTTCTATTTGATTCTTCTATTTGACTCAAGCCCAAATGACTTGAATTTCTTATCTATTTTAGTATTTCTCAGTCATTTCTTTAAATTTATGAAACATAGTTATTTTATATTCTTCGTCAGATAATGATAGTATCTAAAGACTTTATAAGTCTGTTTGTGCTGTGTTTTGTTTCTGTTGGTTCTCACTCATGGTGCATTTCCCTGTGTTTATCTGTGAGCCGATCCCTTTCTTTGAACATTTATCTGTGGAAATCCTTTGAGGCTTGGGGATTGAAGACAGTTTCTCCAGAGAGGATTTGCATCTACTTCTCTGAGTTGCCTGGGGGGCACTACCAACATAAGACTACTCTAAATTAAATTATTTGTTTAAGATATATTTTTTTGGACTGCATAGTTAGCATAAATCTAGACCACAAACTCATGTGGGGGCTTACTTGTGGTTATGAAATCTCAGAGGATATTTTTCTCAGGATCATCTAACGCCAAGGTTTTAAGTCCTGGAAATGATAACATATTATTTGTAAGTGGGAAATCAGAGTTAAAGTGTTTTAAGATCCTGGAATTGCTGGTAGGAAGGATAGATATTGCAGATTTTTTATACGTTGGTAAGTATGCATGTTCAAATAGCTAAAGCAAAAACTAAAAGAATAGGCACAGAGTATATTACAGGTAGAAAGGGAAAAGATGGGAGGAGAAGAAAGGGAGAAAATAAAAAAGATGGGGAAAAAAGGTTAAAAAAGAGAGGAATTTTAAAAAGTGGAACAAATTGGAAGGACATAAAAATAAGAAGCTTACCTAAATATAGTTGCAAACAATACTAAATGTAAATGGACTTAACTCTTTAGCAAAAGACAAAAATAACCAAAATAGATTTTTTAAAACCCACCTATATGTATTTACAAGAAACATTCCAAAAACATAAGAACAAAGAGAAACTAACAGTCAAGGATGGAAAAAAGGTATTCCAGATAAATGCTAACAAAAGAAAGCAACTGTAGCTTTATTAATGTAAGATAAAATAAATTTTAAGGCAAAAGGCATTATTTAAAATAAGAGGATTACTGTCTGATACTACTTTTAATTTCCCAAGAATATTTAACATATAAAAATACCCAGGAATAATTCTAACAAATAATGTGCAATCCTAGCTGGAAGCAATTATAAAATTTCATTGGAAAATGTTAAAGTTCTAAACAAATCCAATGATATACTGTACTCTTGGATAAGAAAACTCAATGTCATAAAATTATTCATTTTCCCCAGATAGATCCAGAGATTCAACGTAACTTCAAGCAAAAACCCAGCAGTTCCACAAAACTTCACAAGCTCACAAAAATGTACGTTAAAAAACAAAGATCCTAAGAAGAGTCAAGATAGTCCGGAAGAAGAACAAGGTGGGAGAACTTTCTATACCAGACATTAAAACATATGATAAAGCTATGGTTATTGAGACTATGTGATATTGGCACAGATAGGCAAATAGAACATAGCACAGAAACAAACCCAAGCATCTTTGGAAACTTCATTTTTTTGTAGACTTCGCACAGCAGATCAATGTGGAACAGGCAGACTATTCAATAAACGTTGCTGGGACAATTATAGAAAATTAAATTAAATTCCTATCACACCATATTCAAAAATCAATTCCATGTAGATTAAAATTCTTTTTCTTTTTTGGTTTTTTTTTTTTTTGAGGCAGATTCTCTGTTGACTGGGCTACAGTGCCCTGACATCAGCCTAGCTCACAGCAACCTCAAACTCCTGGGCTCAAGCAATCCTTCTGCCTCAGCCTCCCAAGTAGCTGGGACTACAGGCATGCACCACCATGCCCGGCTAATTTTTTCTATATATATTTTTTGCTGTCCAAGTAATTTCTTTCTAGTTTTAGTAGAGACAGGTTCTTGCTCTTGCTCAGGCTGGTTTCAAGCTCCTGAGCTCAAAGGACCCACCCTCCTCGGCCTCCCAGAGTGCTAGGATTACAGGTGTGAGCCACCGTGCCTGGCCTAAATTACAATTCTTAGGCCGGGCGTGGTGGCTCACACCTGTTAGCCTAGCACTCTGGGAGGCCGAGGCGGGTGGGTCCTTTGAGCTCAGGAGTTTGAGACCAGCCTGAGCAAGAGCAAGACCCCATCTCTAGTATAAATAGAAAGAAATTAATTGGCCAACTAATATATATAGAAAAAATTAGCCTGGCATGGTGGCGCATGCCTGTAGTCCCAGCTACTCGTGAGGTTGAGGCAGAAGGATTGCTTGAGCCCAAGAGATTGAGGTTGCTGTGAGCTAGGCTGATGCCACAGCACTCATTCTAGCCTGAGCAGCAAAGAAAGACTGTCTCAAAAAAAAAAAAAAAAAAATTCTTAAATGTAAAAGGCAAAACTATAACATGTTAGAAGATAATATAGAAGATATTTTTATGAAATTAGGGTAGGGAATAGTTTTTCTAAACAAGATATAAAAGGCAAAAAAAACCCACAAAAAACCAACAACCATAAAGATTCCCATAAAGGAAAAAATGGATAAAAATCTACTACATTAAAATTAAGATCTTCTGTTCTTAAGACTTTGACTCATAGTAGAAAGCCAACCTCAAAATGAGAGGACCTATTTGCAACATATAAAAACTGGTAAAGTATTAATATCCAGAATATATAAAGAACATCTGTGAATCAATTATTTTTAATGGGCAAAAACATAAAAGGCCATTTCATAGAGGAGGACTCGCAAATCATCTATAAACATATGAAAATTAGTGATCAGGGAAAAGCAAATTAAAATCACAATGAAATTACTATATCACACCACCAACTTGGCAAAAGTTTAAAAAATCAGTCAACACCAAGAGTTGGCAAGGATGTGGGCGATACAATCTCTCATCCACTTCTAGTGGAGCTTGGTGAAATCACTTCAGAAAACAGCTGTTACCTAGCAAAGCTAAAAATGTATTGCACACCCTACACCCTAACAGTTCCACTCCTAGCTACATGCCCTAGAGAAACTCTTGTCAATGTACAAGATTGGATAAATAATGGAGATGCAGGTGTACAACAGAATACAACAGAGCAGAGAAAATGAATCAATTGCATCCATGCATTCACATGGACAAACCTTAAAAACGTGGCTGGGTGCAGTGGCTCACACCTGTAATCCTAGCACTCTGGAAGGCAGAGGCAGGAGGATCGTTTGAACTTAGGAGTTCAAGACCAGCCTGAGCAAGAGCGAGACCCTGTCTCTACCAAAAATAGAAAGAAATTAGCTGGACAACTAAAAATATACAGAAAAAAAAATTAGCTAGGCATAGTGGTGCATGCCTGTAGTCCCAGCTACTCGGGAGGCTGAGGCAGGAGGATTGTTTGAGCCCAGGAGTTTGAGGTTGCTGTGAGCTAGACTGATGCCAGAGCACTCTAGCCCGGGCAACAAAGTGAGACTCTGTCTCAAAAGAAAAAACAAAAAATGTGATGTTGACTGAAAGAAGTCAAGTCAGGATACATACACACCTTGTGTTTCCATTTGCATATGCCCACAAAACAATACCTTGCTTAGGAGTATGTACATGTGCGATAATTATAAGAAAAAGGGAGAAAATGATCAGCACAGATTAGTGGTTTTATCTGGAGAAGACAATGGAAGGGAGGGGAGTACATTTGAGGGGCACGTGCAAGCTACTTTGGTAGTGTTATATTTGTGTTCTTAAGCTGATAGGTGGGTCAGAGTGTTAATTGTGGGGTTTTTTGTTTGTTTGTTTTTTGTTTTTGTTTTTCTTGGGGTTGTTTTGTTTTGTTTTGTTTTTTGAGACAGAGTCTCACTTTGTTGTCCAGGCTAGAGTGAGTGCCATGGTGTCAATCTAGCTCACAGCAACCTCAAACTGCTGGGCTCAAGCAATCCTCCTGCCTCAGCCTTCGAGTAGCTGGGACTACAGGCATGCGCCACCATGCCCGGCTAATTTTTTCTATATATATTAGTTGGCCAATTAATTTCTTTCTATTTATAGTAGAGATGGGGGTCTTGCTCTTGCTCAGGCTGGTTTCGAACTCCTGACCTCAAGCAATCCGCCCGCCTCAGCCTCCCAGAGTGCTAGGATTACAGGCGTGAGCCACCACTACTGGCCTTAATTGTGTTTTTAACAAGACATGAAAGTTTTGTACAGGGTTTTGTGTGATATATTTCACGACATAAAACATATTTTAAAGGAAATGTGGGCAGGTTAATTTCTTACTTTTCATAATGAGAAATCAACAGAAAATGCCTGAAACTGAAGAATCAGGAAATAGTAGCATAAGCAATTTATCTAGGTATCTACGTGTGAATGTGAACTCTAAGGCTAAAAGCACTCGACATGGTTGTTTCTGAACAGCAAGGCCTGGGAAGCAGCATCGGAGGGGCAGGACTCTGCTAGTTTTTATAAGAAGTCTTGTAGAACTATTTGACTCTTCAAACAATGTACTGTATAACCGATACACTGTGGCTCACACCTATAATCCCAGCACTTTGGGAGGCTGCGGCTGGAGGGTCACTTGAGGCCAGGAGTTCAAGACCAGCCTGGGCAACATAGCAAGACCTCATCTCTACTAAAAATTTAAAAATTAGCCAGATGTGTTCGTATGCACTCAGGAGGCTGAGGCAGCAGGATCCCTTGAGCCCAGGAGTTCAAGGTTACAGGGAGCTAAGATTGCACCACTGCACTCCAGCCTGAGTGACACAGCAAGACCTTTTCTCCAAAAAGTAAATATACATAAAAAAATTTTGAAGTTAAGTTTTAAAAGTGGCATTTGATAACTAGAGCAGTCAAATTCATAGATACAGAAAATAGAATGGTGGCTACCAGGGGCCAGGAGGAAGGGAAAAATGGGAAATTATTGTTTAATGAGGACAGAATTTCAGTTTGGGAAAATAAAAAAGCCCTGGAGGTGTGTGGCAGCGACAGTTGCACAGCGATATAGACATACTTAATGCCACTGAACTATACACCTAAGGACAATTAAAATGGTAAAATTTATGTTACATATTTTTTACCACACACAAAAAAATTAAAGCTAAAAACAAACAAACAGTGGCATTTGAGCTGAGCTAGGTAAGATGTAGAGGAGTTAACTAGCCCAAGCATGGTGGGCATGTTGCAGGAAACCCGATTCTTGCCCTGAATCCTTTCCTCATTAAAGGTATTAATTCCCACGTCTGCTGGGGACCACCCTGAGGGTCTCCAGAGATCCAACATTTGCAAATAAAACTCCCAAACTAAATTATGTTTAATCCCCAAAATTCCCCTTTGAGTGCTTTATGGAAATATATACATCAAGTGTAATCTTTAAAAACAGAACAGAACATCATCATTCACATTCTAAAAGGATTCCTTGATTAGCAAGAGGATTTACCCCTGTTTCTTAAAATGCTCCCCTAGCACCCTCGAGTGTGACTTAATTAACAGAAAACAGGCTTATCCCACCTTCCAGAAATAGGCCAAGCAGGTGCTTTCAGGAAACTGAGTATTGAAAATCCAAGAAAACAAAGATCCACCACAAAGGTAGGTGAATGCCACTCTAGATTAGAGGTGCTAACTCTACTTCCTCATTCAAAAATCCCACCCTGGGGCCACCCCCGATAGGGTCAGAAGCCACAGCCAGCTGACCAGGTCTCCCCAGTTTAGCCAAACCTGCCTTGTGCCTCCCCCTGCCATCACACACCATAGATTCTAGTGCTTTATAGGGATCTGCTAAGATGAAACAAACTTCTCATGGGCTGGGGCTGTGTCACGTTCATTTGTGTGACCGGAGGAAGCCCATGAATAGCCCATGCCACTGCCCAGGACCTATCTGTGGATTGATGGGTCGATTCAGTCGTTTGAATGACTCCCCGAAGCTTAGGGAGCAAAGCCTCACACCCTAGGCCTTCACACTTGCTGTTCCACTCAGCGTTGCATCTGTCAGCCCAGAGCTCTAGACCTCTGCTCTGCCTGCTCCCTGCACCCCATTTTCAGTTACTGGACCCCACTCTCACCCACCACAGCCAGGCAGCTCCGCTGGTGTCATCCTTAAGGGCAGGCCTCCCACCCCAGGGTCTCACCTTCCCTTCCCTCGCCCCAGGTCTGACTTCTCTCCCCAAGCATAGGCCCAGCATTGGATGACAGGCTCTTGGGTCACCATCTGCCACCTGCTGTCTCCACCCGGGCACCCAGCTGGTCTCCTCTCAACTGTACTACACCACCCCTTCCACATTAGTCTGTCCACCCAACAAGGGAGCCCCCAACCTTCCAGTCTGGGGGTGGTGTGCTGTCCAGTGACATGCCCAGTGACAAGTCCCACAGCTCTTGCCACCCTGTGGCTGGGGGTCTGGCCATCCAGGACCAACTAATGACTACCATGGGGTGCCCAGGACCACAGTTGTTGGGCCTGCTCCTAGT